TTCAATTAGGTTTAAATGATTTACGTGATCAAGGTGTTTTCGGATTTTTTATGCTTGATGCATTATGGATCGCATTTGTTTTTTCTGTTTTACTTGCACAAAATCGTTTAAAAGATATGTTATTTATTCCTGTACCTATACCAAGTTCATATAATGATCATGCTATGATTGAACCATTAGGTGTTATGTTAATATTTTGTTTTGGTATAATATGTTTAATACAATTTATAGCTATGCTTTGTCATCGATATAATACATTTCAACATATATTAGCATCAACAAAACTTCGTTCAAGTAAATTTGAAGGTGTTAGAATTGAAGATATTATGGATATTGTTAAAATGCTTCAGCAAATTAAGGTAAGAAAAAACAAGAAAATCGATTGCAAATTTTAAGAATATTTTATTTAGCCAATTGATGAAGAAAATGAACCATTGCCAGATTATAGTGATGATGAAATAGAAAAAAATGGTAATCCTCATAATGGAATGAGAGGTGATGATGATGAACGATCACAAGCTGGATCGGGTGGTGATGATGATGTTTTTGTTCAAGCAGCAGCTCTTGCTGGTGAATTAAATAACAATGTAGCTGTCGGAAAATATCAAGTTGTTGATGAAGGTGGACCCGTTGGTGTAAGAAATAGTATTTAAAATATCTAAATATGAGTTTTCTAGAAAAAAACAGTCCATTAGGTTTGAGATAGTAGGGTCTTTTTTTGGTTATAAACTTGATTGGAGAATAATCATTTTTTTGTTCCTATGAATAAACAGTCATTGAACTTTAGTAGCTAAGATAAATAGCTCATTATATACTAAGAGTCCTTCAAATAATCAAGATGCTACATATAATTATATAAACATATAATAACATTGATTGAAACATTGTCTATGTGTATATTACAATTCTTCTGTTGACATTACTAAGTATGTTTGAATATTGGATCTGTCAAATGTAGCAGCCATAGGAAAGAAACAAAATGTATCCACTCGAATCTATACAATCGATATATTATTATTTGTTTTCTAGCGAAAAGCTCGTCATCGAATAAGTCGACGTAATCATGGTAAAACATCTGATGATCGTCATCATCGTAAGGGCCTTGATAATCCATCATATCAACATGATGAATCTCAACATGGAATTGAACGTATAACATCACCGAAACGTAATCGTAAAACAAGATCAAGTATTTAATTCGATTTTCTCCTATTCAAATTATTCATGTATTCTATTTTTAGGTGCAAGTCCATCAAAAAAACCTCGTCATATTAAAACTCGTACAAATAGTGAACTTCGACATTTAAATTCTCATATACGTTCACCACAACAACAAGACATGTCAATATTAACAACTACTCAAGGTGGTGCGTCTGCTATTCATCCATTATCTTCACGTCATCCACCTCGTACACATATTAAAAAAAATTTAGAGAAGGAAAATTCTCTTGATCATATTTTTCGACGTCGTATGAACGAATTAAAAGCAAAAAGCTCTGCTGATCTTGATATGAAATTATTTGATAAAAAGAAAATGAGTAAAGTTCTTTTCAATATGCATGGTGTTCCTGTTGGACCAAATGTTTTATAAAAGAAAGAAAGAAAAAGGGACACACACACAAACAATTTGTTCGCTATCATCTTTTCTCTATTTAATTGATCGCGTGTGAATGTGTCACATTGAATCAATGCATGTTCAGTACACATCGTCAAGGTTCGTGTGATCATATGACAATTGAACATTGACTCTTTTGTGAACGCACGAACGATAGTTTTTTTGTTTTGTTCTAAATGATGATTTTGCGCGCACGTACATATGTATATATAATTTTAATTTGTTTTGAATGAGAGAAGACGACCCGTTTTAATAAATAAAATATATCATTGATCAATCTATCATAAAAATATAGAAAAGAAAAATTCCTTTTTCTAATTATTCGCTTGATTGACATAATTAGTTTGATCATCATTCGGAATCTTTTGTGAGTTTTAATCCGATGACTAGGCCAATTCCAGCACCTGTCCATTCAACAAAAAGAAAGAAAGCCGATTGTGTCTATTCAGTCAGCGCTAAGCTTTCAACTATTGTTAATCTTCTTTGTAGATATATACTGAATATTACAATACAACCAAAATAATGTTTAAACAGTGAAAAATATGTATTCAAGCTTGTATATAATGCTCGAAGCACTACACTAAAATTCATCTGGGTCATTTCAATAAGTAAAATTGTTTGATACCAATACGGATCACCTATTTATAAATAAGAGATGCACTCAACATTCGAACATATGCTTAATCTTTAAAGAAGACGAACACCTCCCTTAAGGCGCCGATATTAATAATGATGTCATGTCTGTTTGCTATTGTCGTCTACGTTAATCATGTTCAACATTTATTCATTCATTCAATTATTTCTTTAGTTTATATGATGTACTACTTGAAAATAGGCCGACTATTAAACAATATTTTAAGTTGTTATTGTTGTTATTTTTTTGTTTTTATACTCTCATATTAGTTCCAAACATTTGAAGTTGGAATACTTGAACATATTTGTATATGTATATGTCACATCTTATTCACTTGGTTGATTCTAATAAAAAAATTGAAAGAAAGGAACGAATTAAATTGTACATTAGACCCGCATGCATACCTTAATTTGTTCACATCGTTATGCTGCCGTCAAATGGGAGAGAAATTCCCTATGACATTTATTTCAATAAGTAAAAGAGACAGAAGAATAAATGTGTCTAAGAGAGAGAGAGAAAGAGAATATCTATTATCGTCATTCAATTGAAAGTGATCCAAGAGTTCAGGTATGTTATAATTAACCTTTATTGAACATGCTAAAAAGAATTTGTTTCATTTGAACTACTAAGAACATATATTAAATTAAATTTATTCAATTTTACTAAGGTTTCATTTATTGAACTTCATTCCAAATATATATTTTTTTTCTTAAAAGATCAACTAATATTGTCTTTGAAATGATTTGTAAGATTTCTTTTCTGTCATCATTCAAAATTAATTTAATATCACTATGGTTTCATTGAGTCGTGCTTATCCATACATATGATCTTTTTCTACTTGTAAAAAAAAGAGATTTATATGTATAAGATGTTGACATACATATAGAATTTAATCATTTTCAATTCAATCACAATGTGACTTTCACTTGTCTGTTAGTCTTGATTGAACAGAATTATTTAGATGAATATATATATATATACCGACATCACAGAACTTCTACTCCTATTTCTTATTCATGATATTGAAAATTCATAAATGTGTAAAAAAAAACAGATTGAATTCGAACTCACGTTCGTCAAACAATACACCTTCTTTGGGTTTTTTTGTCATTCATTCATTCATTCATATTCTTAGAAAGTCGCTAATAATTGTTCATAATCAAAAGAGCTCACTTTCTTTTATGCAGTCAATTGATTCTTTCCGTCTTGAATATAAAACAAGAGAGAGAGAGAGAAAATGAACAGTAGGGTGCTCTATTTTTTCTCACTTTATATATGTACGATTCAATCAACTGTACATGAAGTTCATTGTCAAAAGAATACTTATAAGTCTTTTAATTTTCTTGTAAAGGATGAAAAATGACTTCCGTTTATCACATTGAAAACAATAGAAAATGAGAAAAGAAAGGCAGAAAAAAGAAACATAATAATCGACATATGATTAGTATGTTGGCCTTCTTACGTCAAGATGCTTGAAGGCATCTTCTGTTAAAACAATTGTATGTGTGTGTGTTTGAACATATACACACATAACATATTATCTATCGGATGTCTTGCAGCCATGTCCTTCCACTATTGTCTATCTCTTATCGGCTTCAGTCGGCACCATTCGAAGTAAGACTGATGAATTCTTGAAGGTGTGAATGAATGCTGTGTCTAAAATAACAATTATCTATTTTACTTGATGTTGTCTATGAAATGTATGAGATGATGTTGGCGGCATTGATATATATGAAATTTGAAGACATTCACTATACGTATTACATTCTTTTTACATCATTAGACATTTTTTTCTTTTTCTTCTTCTTTTAAATTGAAATGTAATACCATTTAGCTAGAGAAAAAAATTGAATTTGTGCGTGTTTAACATTGTGTAATAGTATCGTTATTATTCTAGATTTTCCTTTCCTAATGAGAAGATGACCATTATCCTAAGATTGACTGAATCAGACTACCGGTAATTAACAACAACGTGCGTGTAGAGTAAAAAGAGGGAAATCACGTCTGACATTGTATATATGTATATGTATATATGTATATATATATGTGTGTGTATGTTCTGTTAAAACAATCACCGTTCATAGGACATAAATCATTATTGAAACAGAAGACGATGAGAGATGAAGATAGCCATTTTGGTCACGTACAAAACGTGCGACTCATTTATTTCAATGAACTTCAATTTAGTTTTCTTTTTTTCTTTTATACTGTTAGTGGAACAAATGGACAATCGCGTTTTTTCTTTCTTTCTTTCTTCTTTCCTTGTCGTCTCCTCTATGAGAATGACACTAAAGGTATATCCTCTTCTTTTCTTCTCGTCTCTTATTCTTTCTTTCTTTTTTTCTCTCGTTTTTCTCTTCTCTACTCTTAATGGTCATCATTGGTAGATGTCCGACATAGAGAGAGAGAGGAAAAGGTTCCGTGTAAAAACATTTGCTAACTGTATACACATACATATACATTGAAAGAGAAAGTATCTGTACACATACACATGTATTGTCCACATTGAGTAAAATCCAAATGACATTAACAACAACAACTATTTTAAACTTATTTTCATTCTATTGATATCTTTTTTTTCTATTATTACAGATGTATTTCTTGTTATTCATTTTTTTCAATATTCAACTACGATTAATTCAAACAGCAAGTCCGACACAAATAATAAAAGTACGTGAAAATGTGAATGTTACAATGACATGTCATCTTAATATAAAACAAAATTTTGAAATAAAAAATCCATCATTCTCTATGCCATCGTTAACATCATTTAATAAAATATTTGATAATAATTTTTCGGGTAATATTATACTTTGGTATAAAGATGATACACAAGTTATCGGTGTTAATTCTATATCAAATGATCCACAAAAATATCTTATTTATCAAGAAAATTTTTATACATATCAATTAATAATCATTAATGTCCAATTAGAATCCTCCGGATTATATAAATGTCAAAATTTTACAGCAAAAGAAGAAAATCTTTTTCAACTTAATGTTATGGGTATGTATTTAGCCAAAGTTATATGATATAGTTTGACGAAGTAGACAACGAGTGTTTAGTATCTAAGATTAATCTTTTTGACTCGATACGTATGTGTCTGTTATTATTAGAATATGTCAAGCAAACTGTTAGCAGTAGAGCCGATATGTTAATACTTGCATCATAACTGACAACATCCAAATATCGAGATAGCAGCGTGAACACGATAGGAAGAGAGGGGAAAAAAAGAAAAGACTACTGTTTTCACGCCTCTATTATAACATATACATCAAGCAGCTGTGCTAAGTTCCGGAAAATCAATCTTTTCTTTACTATCAATGATAGACAAATCGCGGGGAACCCTTTTCCTCAGCTTGAAATATACGTTGACATTTTTTTTGACTCTGTAATTATTCTGATGGATGATGTAAGAAACTAAAATAAAAAGAGAGAAGGAAAATGATGAGATACCAGTTGTAAAGATGAACGACTCGTGCGTGAATGAAGAATCTAATTACGAACTATTATTTCATCCGCACGACAGGGTCCCATTTTGTTTTACAGTCAAAGTTCATGTTCCTTGAACTGCATGCATACTATACTACTATTCAAGAGTCAATCGAGAGATCAAGGCAAGCATCTGCTTCTGACTGGTACCAACGAATAAGGATGTCAATGAAGTTAATCATCAATCATTTTTCCATTGAGAACAAAACTCGTTAATTTAGTGAGCATCTATATATATATACGTATACATGTTTAATAGTAGATGATTCCTTACTATCATAGAAAAGGTTATATGAAACAAAAAAAACTATTCTCTATGGAAAAACAAGAACAGTCGTACAATCAATTATGATAGACACAAACCGTGTCTGTTCAATGTACAATAAATGAAAGATGAATAGAGAATAATCAACGTTTTGTTTGTTTCTTTCTTCTGTAAATCAGATAACTAACTATAGATGAATTTATCGTATATCAGATTTAGGTTTTTTGTGTTTCCACTAATTGATGTGAAAATGTCTAAATTTGACAAATAAATAAGGAACAATTAGTCTTTATCGTCTCATTCTCTATTATTTATCTGTCATCCGACAGGAAGATGAACATTCATTAGTTTACTCTCGAAACAATAGAAAGGAGAAAGAAAAAAAAGAATACACCTTGAAATAATTACAGACGATTGAACAGGACGTGTTTCACACGTTGGATAGCCGCTTTAACCTACGGGCATTTAACACAAGATATGTCACACCCCCGCCTTCAATATAGACAATGTGTATATGTACATGAAAATATTTGTCAATCCCTAACGAATATGCGAGTAAGAGGAGGTGTTGTCTATGTAGACAATCTATTGACACCAATATGACTAAAGTAATCGGATGGACATGTGAAAACAAAACAAACATTAAATCTTTTGATTTTTTTTCCTAGTTCCACCATCTCGTCTTCGTATAAATCCATCACCACAATTTCCTGTACCTGATGGTGCATCAGTTCAAATCAATTGTACAAGTGAACGTGCTTATCCCGTACCAACATTTGAATGGTATAAAAATGATCAATTAATTCAACGGTATGGCATAGATATATATTATTCTTTCTTTATTCTTAAATGAAAATGTTATTATTTTTGTTAGTTCAATCGGTATTAGTAATAACAATCAAACAAGTTCAGCAAGCTTTTCAAGTTCATCCATTTTAACACTTTTACTTACACCTGCTGATCATGATCAAATACTTCGTTGTCAAGTAACAAATGAAGCGAGTATTCATGATACAAATGTTGAACTTAAACTTGATGTTTTATGTGAGTAATATACCTACACGACATTTATTAAAAGCTACTTGACCATTTTTTGTTTGATCATCCGACTGACACCTTTTCGTGTTATTTCTTACATTCTTTCTCTTCTCTCTATAGTTAAACCCATTATCAATATATCATGGAATCAAAAAGAATTGCCAACAATTCTAACAGTAATTGAAAATACATTTGAAACAATTCATTGTGTAATATCAGCCAATCCATCTGCAATCGCAAATATTGAATGGTTAAAAAATGATCAATTAATCAAAGGTAAGAGAAGAGAAACGAATTCATGCGAAACAATAATCACACACGTCCTACATCTGCTCATATATTAGATACATTAGAATTTCCTTTTTCTCTTTCTTTTTTTTGTTGCCACTTTCTTAAATTAAATTTGGCTACGTGTCAATGAAATCAATTCAATTATGAAAATTTTCTAGGAGAAAATCAAGAGCAATTACGAATAAATTTCACAAGATTAGCAGATATACAAAATTTAACATGTAGATCAAGAAATACAATTGGACAATCGGAAGCAACGGTCAATGTTGATATTCTTTGTAACTAATTTGATTATATTCAAAGCAATATTTCTATACATATGTATTTTTTGAATAATTAGATAAACCGAAATTATCAATGATTGATCAATTAACATTAAATCAAGGTGAAAAACTAATTTTGAAATGTTCGATTGATTCAAATCCATCTTGTCATCAAATTCGGTGGTTTCATAATGAGAAAGAAATTCTTACACAACCATGTACATTAACAAATAAAACACAAACAATATCGGAATATATCATACCGAATGTCTATCGAATACATTCAGGAAAATATACATGTGAAGTTAAAAATTGGCTGAATACAGGTTCGGAAAATCGATATGAAGCCACAACAGAAGTATCGACGGATGTTCGAATACAATGTAAGAATATCTCTTCATGTTGAATCAATTAAAAATCGTTTTTTTATCGTTGAATTTAGATGCTCCATTTATTTTAAATTCAATAAAAAAATTAGCTGTGGTAGAAAATCGTGATATTACAACAGAATGTATTGTTGATGCTTATCCTAAATCTGATATAACATGGTTTGGACCATCTGGTCAACGTTTAAGTTCGTTTGCTAAAGAAATAACAGCGAATGCAACTGTTATTTCATCACAATTACATTGTAAATTTCTTATTTTGTAATTCTTACTAAATTATCTACTTATTTATTTATTTCAGTACCACCTGCTTATTCAACAGTACTTGGTTTATATCGATGTGTAGCTAAGAATCAGTATGGTCAACATGATTTTTCAATAAATTTTCAACGACCTGGTTATCCTGATCCACCAAATCAATTACAAGCAATAAATGTAACTCATGCTTCATTTATTCTTACTTGGCAATCGGGTTATAATGGTGGTTCGAATTTAACATATCATATTAGTCTGACTGGTAATCGTTCGGAAGAAAGACAAACAAATTTAAATTCAATACGATTCATTGGTGAGTATATAAATTGATCTTGAATGTTTATTAGGTCTTTTTTTCTTCGATTTATTAGATCTCAATGAAAAATCTCGTTATTTTGTAAAAATTCGTGCACAAAATAATCTTGGTTTTAGTGATTATTCAACAAATTTAGTTGTTTTAACAACAGAATGTTCACTTCGTTCAGATGAATTTCCTAGTATACAGCGAGCTTATTATACTGTTGATGGTCATCGAATACGTTTTCATTTGAGTGAAATTCGTTCTCCATTGATAACTAAAGAACAATTATGTATTCAACATTATCATATATCTTCATCAAGTATAGAAACAGAAAATGAAATACCAACATGTATACCATTAAATTCACTTCAACCAATTAATAATGAACTTGAAATCGTCAGTGATCAAACAAATATACGTTTAAAATTATGTTTAATAAATCAAACAGATGTTTGTTCAAAATCCGTAACAATTCCATTCGGTGTATCTGTATCAAAGGATTCATCAGAATTAATTTTAGTATTAGTTGGTAAAATATTTATAAAAAATCTTTTTTTTATAAATTAAACAAAATATTTTCGTTTCTAGGAGCTATATTAGGTTTATGTTTTGTTGCGGCTTTAATTGGTTTATGTATTTGTATTCAACAACGAAGACGAAAAAGCAAATCCAAACATGGTTCAACTGATACATTAAAAACGAATACAAATGGAAATCATCTTGAAAATTATCATGCGACACCTGTTCGAGTTGTTGATACAAATTCATGTCTTTATTATCCAGCTCAATCGAGTGAAGGTATAAATAAATACTTCGATTCCATTGATGAAACATTTTTTTTTTCTAGTTCGAACACATGGAACATTATTTTATAATCAAGAAATTCCAAATAGTATATATTCAATTCAAGGTAAGTTAAGAATAGTCATGAGTTATCTATAAGCGCATATTCAATTTTCCGATCTCTCTGATATCAGGTACAAACAAAATGGCAATAAGAACAGGTTTTGCAAGAGTAAAACGAGGCTTAAAAGTAGCCTGCTAGTATCATTATCCACTTTCTGTCAGTATGTGTGCTTGTTTGATTTTCTCACAAAACACATCAATTTTCTTATTCTTTATCACGCTCCAATGTAATAAGAATATTTTCTTACATTGCAAATTTGTTTTTTTTCTCTTTACTAATTTCTACAAAAAACAAAAAATGATTTCATTGTGAATTCTATAAAAAATTGTTTCTTTTTATGTATATGTATAGAAAAGAAAAATTCAATGTGTTTTGATTCCGGTATGCCATCAACAACTTCAGATAATTCGGATTCAGCTTGTTCACAAGTATTTTCATCTTCGGATATTGATGGACAAATAATAAATGGATTTTATGATCATCGTTCCGATGGAGAACATCTTGTTAATGGAAGATTATCATCAAAGAAAATTCTTTTACCTGATATTCAACAGTTATTTTTAGCAAAATTTAATGGTTCAACTGATATACCACCTTATACAACTGGAAGTGGAGGTGAACGTCGTTCAACTTTACGTATATCATCCGAAGAAGAAAGCGGGTTTTCAACTCCAACTAAATCTCATCATGGAAAAAAACTTGTTTATGAAGTTGTTGTGTGAATTGTTTTCTCATATATATACATATATACATTGTATCTCATTCATATATTCTTCATTTGTTTGTATGTCTGTGTGTGTTCTTTCCATAAAAGCTGACCCTACAAAGTTTCCTTTGTTTCTGTTTTCTTTTTTTATATAAAATAATAAATGAGAATTTTCTTTTTCAATCAATACATAATCGAATTTTCGTTCTTTATTTCTACTGAATTCGAAATACATTTTGAAGGGTCATACAGTACCTTAACTATTCATAACATTACAGGTTTTTGTAGAGGTTGATAAGGGGAACTACAAATTTCGGTCGAATGTAAATCGATATTGATAAGTACCATTCCTTGTGTATATGTCTGTTTTCTTGTTACTCACTGTATGTATATATATGTATGTATTTATTCTATTACTGTAAAGAAAGATATCTGGTATGTCTGTGAAACTAATATTATTTATAATTATAAGAAGATCAATTTTTTTCTCAGCAATATTTCATACGATCTTGAACTTTCGTACACAGTATAATTATGCTTTAGGCGACTTCAATACAAAAACCAGACAATGGGATATTTACAATAATAATGAATATATTGTAGAGAGACAATGGACTTCAATTTATAAATTCTATTATTTTAATGTGAACAGTAGTATACAAGTAATTATGTATCTTTTGTAAACTTATGATAAAATCTTTGAATTTATATGTGCATCCTCGATTCATTGAATCGTAATTAATTAATAAAATATCGTTTATCGAGTTAATAAATAACTCATTATATATGGCTTCTGCTATTTAGTTATATACATAAATGAAAATGATGTTTAATTATGATAGGTTTCTTTTTATTTAAATAAATAATCAAATTTGTACATTATTTATTATCTAAACAGAGCAAAACGTGTTTCTATTTTTTCTTTAAATAGGTTTTTTTTTCTTCATACAAAAGTGAAAAAAGTGCAAAAAGGATCAACATAAAAAATTTATAATTTGTTTCTCTTAGCTACGTAGAAATGCATGCATACATATATGTGACACCACTTGAAGATGGGGTGTACGAGACATTGTCAACATCTTAAACAATCGTTTTTCTTTTTTTCTCGTTACTTTTACAGGGTTGAAACATTACACAAACATATTTATATATATATACACGAATATTCAATCTCATGAGCGCAATAACATCAGACAGGTTTCAAACATTTTATAGTTTGTCATATTTTATTAATGATGATTTTTATTAGAAATCTTACTAAACTTGTTCCTCATCCAATTTTGGATGATTCATCAAAGATGATGCGACTTATTGGTAAATTTATACGAGAAATTATAATATAGAATAAATAATTAGTCGATTTTCTATTTCTTCTTCTTTAGCTAATCCAGTTTATGATAGATTAACACTATCACGCGCAGCTAATGTTCGCAGATATACACCTACCAATCATAATCAACAAGCGTCACAAATGCAGAGAGCAAAGGAGATAGCTGAGCTTTCATCATTTAAATCTCATGATGTCGATGACATCACAACAATGGTATATTTCTATAGAAGAAAAAAAAAGAGCTACCAGGAAGTGACTCATACAGAAAAAAAAGAATCAAAGAAAATATTGTTAATGTTTTAATGTATTACCTTCGGTTTATTTTTTTCTCTTAGCGTCTATTACATCCAACAGAACCAGGTGGCAATCGATCACGATCAAAATCAATACCTTCAATTGAATTTCTATTATCGAAGGATCTTCCACCAGCACCAGTACCTAATCAAAAACCATCAAGAAGTACTACACCAGCTTCTCGTTCGCGTGTTTCTACTGCTCGTTCTCGTGCGTCTACTACTCGTTCTACTATTGTTCGTCCTCGAGCTAAATCTGCTCGTTTATCTTTACAATCTGTTCAAGCTGAATTAGTTGCAAATACTGCAAAAATTCGTAAACCAATACCACCTGGTACAACTCGTTTTGTGAATAGTCGTCATGGTTTTGAAGTTCAATATTATGCATCACGTAATTGGTTATCTACTGATGTCTATACAAAAGAAACTTGTCCAGAACATGAAAAAACTTTTCGAGATATGCTTGAACAAAAACGTTTATTTGAACAATATTCACGTAATATATATTCATCAGAATATTATGCGAATCGATTAAGTGAATTATTACAATCATATAAACAAGGTCTTCTATCACATGCTGAATGGGCTGAACAAAGTTATCAAATACATATGTTGAAAATTTTATATGCTCAAGCATTAAAACGTGAACAACGTGAAAAAATTAATCGTAATACTGATAACGATAGTGAATCTCAAGTTCCAGTACAAAATCCATCGAATGAATCGAAAGAAATCAAAACTGAAGAAAGCACTGAACAACATTTAAATCGATTGAATACACCTTTTAGTCATAATTTAACTGATGAAGGATCTTTTTTATCGACTAATTCACTTGCAATTCCAGTATCATATGCAACAGATGAAGCTAATACACCTTTACCACATAGAGTTCGTGTATTGTCAATGTCAACAAATGATGATGTTGAATTACAACGACTAACAATGAGTCATCGTGATATTTCACCAAAACCTAAAAGACCTGTACAATCAGCAGCGATGAAATCAAAAGCATTATCTCTATTAGATGGACAACGATGGTCATTACATGCAATGGTTAAACGAGTTGTTGGACTTTCTGATCAATTACCATCATCAGCGATGCTTACTGATGGAAAACAAACACCGATGATAAATATAAATACTGATTCTGATATTAAATAAAATGTATTATTATGAATTTATCTAGTGAATAAATAACGATATGAATTCATCGTGTAGATTTTTTTCGTAGACGAAATATGAAAATGCAAGAAATGATCAATATTTCTTTTCTTGCTAAGAATATTTGACATGAAGAAAAAAAATATTTTTCTTCGTCCTATATGATTTTAATAATCAAAAGATTATTAAAGAAAATTTCATGTATTTTTTTTAAAATTTTTTAAATAAATGAATTATGATTATATTTTTCTTTTTCATTATTATATGTTTTCTTTTAAATTATCAAGAAAATAAAAATGTTCTATTTGTCAATTTTATATCTATATATGAAGCAAAAGAAAAGTGTTAAGTTCTATAAATAATGTACACAAACGTTAACTTTTGAGTTTATAGAATTCTCTTTTTCTTCTTCTTCTTTTTCATAACATAACTGGCGTCATTGAATACACGGGTGGCTTGTTTTTTTTTCTGAATTTACTTGCTCATTCTGATGGTTGCCGCGTTGACGAGATTTGTTATTATTATTTTTGAAAAAGAACATTCTTTGCTAGTTGCACTTGGATTTATTCCTGTTCTGCATTAAAGAGAATACCTATGAAACTATGGTGGTATTCATCAGCTAATATTCTTTATGCATTTGGTTCATTAGGTTATCTTACTGTTAATATTGTCAATCTTATCGATAGAGATACTGTTAATTCAACTGCTACCTATGTTATTTTAATTCTTCTAGCTATACTTTTTGTTATTGATGCTTTATTATATACAGCCGATTGGATTGAACAACGTGCAACAAAAAAGCGTCGAGAATTAATTGGTTGTATACTTAATGTTGTTGGAAGTCTATTATATTTAATCGGAGCAACAGTTTTTAAAAACAATACAACAACAACGACAACGACATCAACAAGTGATTTTTCTAGTGTAACTGATATACCAGCATTTGTATTCAATATACTTGGTATGTTAGCATTTCTTGCTGAATCAATTCTATCATTTTTTATGCCACGAGTTTCAAAGAAACCATCAAAATGTTCAATAGAATTTTTCGCACATTTACTTAATCTATTGGGTAATTTAACATATTTAACTGCACATATTGTACAACCAATTATATCATTTATTGCAAGTTTTACAACCAGTTCTTTAAATCAACTTACTGATTTTATTTTTATTATTATTCGTCCAATTCAAATTGGTGGTGATATTATTTATACTATTGATGCTATTCTCTATATTATTGTTTGGATTAAAGCAAATGAACAATTTAGAAAAGTCGGTGTAGCATGGGGTAATGCAGTAATTAATAAAATTGGTATAAAACCACCAAATATAAATATACCAACAGTTAACATGTTACCAGAATCGTTACTTACAAATACAAATTTTGATTTAAAAAATCAAGCGATAAAAACCATTTCCAAGAAAATACCAATACCGACAGTTGCGGATGAAGAAAATTCATCGGATATGGATATAAAAACGTGAAATTTTTTTACCGGTGGAAGAAAAAAACATTAATCTAAATGTCTTCGTCAGTATCTATTTTGATGTAATATAAAGAAAAAGCAAAAAAATAATATTAAGACAGAACAGGAAAAAAAGTAATAAGACTTTTATGACAGAAGCAAAAGTTCGCAGATCAGAACACTTTATTCAATGTACAAAATATTTATTAATAACTTATATTCTAAGAATTTCTTTTGATATTAATATTTTACCGGATATTGATATCATTATAATATAAACATAGTCGGATAAATCTAGATTTTTTTCTGTCGTCAATCATCTAGATAATAAACAATATACAGAATAAATAAACTATGTTTCTTTTCTATTATTTTGATAATATATAACATATTATATTAGTTTTTTTATTTACAAAAATATAAAATCGCGAGTATTAGGTATTTTTATTTGATCATGAAACAAGTTACTCAACAAATAGTATACATACTTTTGTCCTTCCTGTAATCCTATCGATTGGTATCTGATACAACTAAGATAATATTCCTAATCCCATTTTTATATTCTCAATTTTTTCTATTAATATTAATAAATATTGAATTTATTTCTATTAGTATTTGAATAATACTATCGCATCGATTTCTACAATGTCAAATACAACTATTCAGAAGTTTATCTGACCATTCATCACCTTGCACTTTCTCTATCTTGTAATCTATATAACCAAATAAAAACATCGATTTAATACTATTATACAATATACAAGATAGATATTCTTACATCATATGTTTGTATTTCAAAAAATACGAAATATAGTCTTGAATCGAAGAAAAACAAAACTTTCGAGTCATATAGCTAATAAATTTTGTTTTGTATAATTAAGTAATAATACTATCATTGAACGAAGTATTATTTAAGTAACTTATCTGCTCATTCTTATGTATATACATATACATCGACTCATTTTGCCTTCTATACCGTAATATACATAAACACATGATCCGCTTTCTCTCTCTCTATGTATATGTAATTGTATGTATATGTCTTTAGAGTAACTAAACGTACATATATATACATACGCTTTCTTTATAGTCAAGTACAATCATTATCGATCATCATTTTTTTCTACTCCATTTACCTTTATATTACGAAAAAAAAATGAGTTACAAATAGTTTGACATTATTCGTTTATATAAACCTGTAAACAGACATATGATTTAAATATATATATATACTTATATACATGTATATTTTTCTCGCTTGCTTGCTTATTAATCGATCACAAGCGTACAACAGATGTATGTTGTCTTATATTTATAGATTGTATGATCTAATGATAAAATGATAGAAAATATTAATAAAAAACCTCGAAAGCATCTGTTTATTGACTTTTAAATGTTTTCATTTATAATATCTTGATGTAATTATGTACATCTAGATTTTAAATACAAGTTAAGAACACTTATCTGTTGTTATCGAAGAAAAAATATAGTTAGATATCTATTTTACCTTGAAGAATTACTTTTTGCTTGTAAATAACAAAGAGAACTTTGTTTGAATTATTGACGATAACTAGAATCTATTGTCTCGTAAGTTTATATTACAGCTGTTGACGCTTACTGTTTCTATCTGAAGAGTGTGACATTTGTAATGTATTCGTTGACAAATTCTGATTGTTTGCCACACTAGTATAACTAACAACACATAGAAGAAACAGATTAGCTTTGTTATCACTTTGTCTATATGTGCAGTTTTTTTCTACGACATATCCACGGTAAAACGTTGATGTATAGACACTCATTGTCCATATTGATGGACTTTTATATCTGTTGATTTTATTTTAGGACTTCGTTGTTTTCTTCGAAATATTTACTTATCATACGGATAAATAGAGAATAGATTAAGATCTAGACGCGTTTTACTAACTACTATTACCGATGATGATGATGATGTGACACGCTTTGCTGTCATCTGTCTTTAGATTGCATATACGTTAATTGTCAATAAGAAGTAGACAAGAATTTTCTTCATTTATGCGTGTGCATGTATTTAATGTATATTAGAACAACAAAAGGAACAGAAAAAAGGTTCGGATTTCGTCATTGATTTGTGCTCATTGATAATAGAATAGGATTTAGATGTCAAAAAATCAACAATGTAATGAGAGATCTTGCTTATTTATCATTCTTGGCGCGCGCGTAGGACAAAAAAAATAGACAAAAATCATAACACCTTGAGAATTGCCCGTGAAATAATTATGGAGATTTTGATCGGTGAATCGATTTGTCGTACTTGTGCTGCGGTCGAAAGCAAATAAATATTATTTCTTTTTATGTATTCTTTCAAGTGCAAAAAATACAATTTTGTCTATCAAATTATGTAGTTACATATGTGTTATCCATTGTTTTTTATTGTTTATCCTACATTGTTAATGTTATGTTTATATATGATAATTATTTTCTTTTGTATGATTCACAACAGGATCTATTCTCTCTTTGTTCACAATATCGGATTTTTTTTGTTCTTTCTTTATTTTTCGTGTATAGTCTATTAAGTTTCGCTTGCATTTCTCTTTCTCGGGGTTTTTTTTTTCTATAGTCAAACAAAACCATACACGTACATAAATAGACATATGAAAAGGCACTTATTGGAGATGTTTTGCTAGGAAGGTTTGAGAGAAGAAAAAAGGAGTATATGTAAGAACAGAAAATATCTCCATCTTTTTGCTCTTGACTTCTTTTTGATAATGTTGCATGATATTGACTATATACACAAATGAGTTATGTACCATATTAGTGTACATAGCGCGAAGAGAGAGAGAGAGAGAGAGAGAGAGAGAGAGAGAGAGAGAGAGAGAGTGTGTATATATATATATATATCTATCCTTCTTCATATCTAGATGAGTCTATACTTCTGATCGTTTTTTTTTTCATTTTACGGTCTAATTGCAAAAAAATGACAGCAAGTTAATAAATCAAGTTAAGAGTCATAGTCTTGATTTGTTAATTAAATTTATTTATGTGTTATGTCAGAGTAAGTTGTATTAATTGGAAAAAAGAAGACTTACATATATAAAAAAATATTTATCATATTAAATAATTTCTTCAAGAACAAAATCTTAAGTTTTTTTACTTAAGATCTCGTATTCATTTATATTATCAAGATTATAACAAACAGATAAAATTATTATTATAGATTAAACTAACAATATGACAACAGAGAAATCAATGCAGACCATACGTTATGATACATCATCACGTCTTCATATTATTGTCTTATATTTACTTATTGCTAGTTTAACTATAGCATGGGGAATTTATTTTGTTCATTTTTCACATAATATGCAAACACATATGGAAACAAGTTTTACAGAATTAAATATTATGAAAGAAAGATTAGAAACACTTGAATCGACACAAATAACAATCTCGGCGAATGGTAATGGTTATGATATATTACGACGTCAATCAAGACATGCACGCATCAAAACAAAAGCAGTTAATAATAAGCAACAAAAACAAAAACAAGACCAGCAACAACAACAACAACAACAACAACTTTCAGATATTCTTTCTGGCTCAATTCACTTTAAAGTACCCGTAAGACGATATGATTTATTCAAAAATGAATAAAATCTTTGAATTAATTATAGCCCTTGGCAATGACAACATTTTGTGTCAAATCCGTCGATCATTGCAAAAAATTAATTACTGAAAATGAAGGTAAATTATTCAAAAATAATCGTTTTTATGTATTTATCTAATTCTTTTTAAGAACTACGCGGTCCTAAAGGTGATCGTGGAGAACGTGGTTATAATGGCTTGCCTGGTATGCCTGGTATTGTTGGACCACCAGGACCACAAGGTAAAATAATTATAACAATGAATAGATATATTATCATTTATCTATATTATAGGGCCAATTGGTCCTTTAGGCTATACAGGAGCAACAGGTCTTCAAGGACCTAAAGGTGATCCAGGCCAATCGATTCGAGGTGAACAAGGTAGACTCGACAAGGATTAATACGACAAAAGATATTTATGCATTATTTTTTTTCTAAGGTCATCAAGGTCTTATGGGACCCCCTGGATTTCCAGGCCCACGTGGTGAAATGGGTGCACGTGGTGCACCGGTAAATTTAAATTAATTGATCTTTCATTCTATATAGATCTAATCTGATTAGGGTGTCTGTACATGTCCTCGACCATCATATCCATTTCAATCACAACCATCTTATGCAGTAACCGTTCCACCAAGTTCAGATCAAAAGCCAGGTTTGTATTCATTTATCAAAACATCTTAGCGATATGCATACATTTTTTTGAAATTTTCAGATTCTTCTCGACGTGACGGTAAGTTATTGTAAGGAAAAAAAAGACAAATTTAAAATTTTTTTGAAATTTTCTTATCGGACAAAATCAAATAGCTGTTCTCAGTCGTGCACAACGTACGTAATCTATAATCAATTTTTATATAACAAAATCGAATAAAAATTATTTTCTTTAGGATGTGTATTTTCATTTATTGGTACACCTGTTCTTCTCAAACAAGATAACACTACATTTGGTGCTTGGTTTAAAGATCCCATGCCTAAAACTGCAAATGGTGCTCAAAAAGTTTATGTAACACGACATGCTACGGGTACACATTTATATGAATTTAACACTGAGGCTGATCTTATGAATGATATACCAAATCGTATCATAACATTACCATATCCATATTCAGGTGTTAATCATGTTGTTTATCAAGGAAGTTTCATCTATAATGTTTTAAATAAAAATACAATTATACGTATTGATCTTATATCTGAAACAGAAGCACAACATGTTGAAATTGCAGCTAGTCGTGAACCATTATACAATACACCACAATCAGGTTGGTATGATTTTTCAATTGATGAAAATGGTCTTTGGTTATTATATCGTGAACAACAAACACGAAATTTTATAGCAGCTAAAATCAATCCAGATACATTAGATACACAAAAAATGTGGATTTTACCATATAATCCATCAAGTTTAAGTCAAGGTTTTATTGCCTATGGAGTTTTTTATGGTGTACAACATTATAATAAACAACAATCATATATTGATACTGTTTATGATATTTATTCAAATTTAGCATTTACAACAATGAAAATACAATTTGCTGTACCATTTCAATATTTAGTACAATTAACTTATAATCCATATGAAGGAAAAATATTTGCTTGGGATAATAAACATTTATTATATTATGTTTATAATGTTCAACGTGACAGAACATTTAAATGTTAAAGACAATGATTAACATCAATGTCCGGTGATGATGATGACGATGACAAAGAACAGTGTTTACAGTTTAATTTCTTTTTCGTTTTTGTTCGTATCTCATTTTGTTCTCAGGTGTATGCTTATCTATATATTTGATTATTATTTTACATAAGCCTTTTTATCCTTTGTCTTTGTCTTGTGCTAAATATAAATAAAAGAAATTTCAGTTTTGTCTAGGGTATATATTATTTTTAGTTTCTTTTTTTGATTATCGCGCGGTCGTCACGGATGAGAACAAGGATAATGTAAATATGAACTTGAAAAAACCATAGAAGAACCTTCAATCGGAAAGTATGAGTAACGATGATATATTATAACCGATCGTGACCTTTTTCTAAAGGCTTTTTCTTTTCGACGACAATAAATATTTGGTCAATTGACAACTATTGTTCATATTAAACGATGCAGATATATATATATAAATAATCTGAAAAACTAATATTCATTATAGGGACATTAATAAGACAATTAACATTACAGTAGAGATATTCAATTGTACAAAAATAAGAGTCATTTTTCTCAAGAACAATTACCCCTTAAATTGAACTTGTATATATATTGTCGCGCCTTCACCCCGTTTTTTCTTGATATCAATGTGTAACGAATCACTGAACCAAATCAATTCCTTTTTTCTTTTATTCATTCTAGGTGCGCATTTTTATTCCTTGTCAGTTATTATACATTACATTCAAATAACAATACTAACGATTAGAGAAACATATATTTAACTTATTAATCCTTTGATTAATCAAAGGATTTGTCATTCATTTACTTGTAATTACAATTGAAAACAAGAATTCTACAGATATACTACCGTTTGATCTTAATACATACAGGTTTAAGTAACAACTACGATACAAAAGTTATATCTTGTCTATTGTATAAACGATCTATTATTTCTATAATTTTTTAAAATATTAAAAAAATAAATCAATATGTTTGGCGGTGGATACCCATATTCAATGCCGTACTGCCAACAGCCGATGATGTGTCCATATGATGTACCTTGTCCACAGCCGTATCCTTGTCCTTATCCTGTGCCACAACCTTATCTTCAAAATATTTACCAACCTGTTGATATGCCTATTCAAAATACAATTCAACCTGTAATTGTACCACAACCATTCTGCATGCCAGTTCCTCAACCAGTACCTGTACCATATGAACGTCCTTGTATTGTACCTATTCCACAGCCTGTCCCCGTTCCTGTAGATCAACCATATCCAGTTCCTGTTCAAGTTCCTGTTAATGTACCAGTTCCACAACCATATCCTGTACCTCATCCGATTGTAGTACGAGAGCAAGTTTGTGTTCCTGTGCAAGTACCAGTACCTTTTCCTGTACAAATGCCAACTCAATATCAATATATCCAACAAGAGGTATAGGAAGAAGCAATTTTGATTTTGGCAATAAATCTGTTTCTTTCTAGGAATATTATTATCCTCCAGAAGAAGAATATGACGAACCTATCTATATAAAACATCATCGTCGTCGTCATCATCGTCGACGATATCGATCATGTCCACCAGGTCCATTACCACCAATCATTATTCCAATTCCAATGCAAGAACAAATATGTGTAGCAGAACCACCCCCACTTCAAATAACTGAGTACGTTCAAGATATTTATCCACCAGCACAAGTTTATACAGATCAAGTGCAAGTCGTATGTTTATTAATTACATCTTTTTCCAGTATCTATTAAATACTTCATATATTTCTTAAGGGATATGCTGCCAACAATTCCATGATTCAACAACCTGCTCAAATTCAAAATCAACAAACATTTAATTGTCAATCAGGCATCATTCTACCCCCCTCACCTTATATACAACCACAACAACAACAACAACAACAGCAACTCATACAACAACTACCAAGTGGTCAATGCATTCAACGACCTCTCACCGTAGGTGGTGGTGGTGGTCTTGGTAGTATTCAAAGTATAGTAGCATCACCACAGCCTTGTTTTTCTTCGTCTCATCCTACTGGCTTAATGAGTCCTTGTCAAGCTGCTTCGCAGTTAATGTACTAAATATGGCTTTCATTTTTTTTCTATATTATTATAAAAGAAAACATTGTAAAAAATAAAATAACAATGATTTTTTTAGTAAACAATAACATTGAATTATTTATTTATACTACATGGTGAGAAAAAAAAAGAAATTCATTATGAACAGAGATGAAACATTATAACATATAACTTACAAGGACTTTCCAGTACATGTTGTTTCGGTGTATGAGTATAATGATCATATCGATTTTATTGAATATATTTTAAATTTATATTACACTTCGGTTACATAATAAGATACGTGTCAACGTTTTATTATCTATCAAAATGCAATTCTTTTTTTTATGGTTTCATATTATATTTCTAAAGTCAAGAAAAAATATTTGTATTAAAATAGTATTTTGTTGGTTTCATAGAAACCGTTTCTTTTTCTATTTATTATATTTGCATATATTTTTGTTATCATGTCAATTGATCAACGGGTATTTTTTTTGTATCACACATCCGTATTAATTATCTCAGTGATAATTCTATAATAGAAATGCATTTTTTATTGAATAATATTAATTTTCTCCAGGGAATTTTGTTTCATTATCATTATTTATATTTTGATTAAGATTTAATATCAATCGAGAACTTTAGCGAGAAATAACTATCTGAGTACATATAAAGTTCATGGTGATATTGTCACGTATATGTGTGTGTATACATAATATTCCATATGGCAACAACTGTTGGTATTCAGCTATCTCTCTCTCTTTTTTGTATTGAACATGTGTTGCAAGTAGTCAGCATGCGATTAACTAGTCAATGCCAATAATTACTATATACCAATGATATGCAATCGACTCAGACACACTGTGTTATGTATATCACTGTGATCGAAGTTTCATTCGAAACGATATCGTTTATTGATTATTCTTTTCATTAAAAAAAAACGACATTATCAAATATCGAAGTATATCATATTGATATTATAGATCGAACTTGGAAGAAAAAGAAAAAAATAAATCGTATAATCTAACTTAAATTGAAAAAAGAAATCCTTTGATACTCTGACGTTTTTTTTTATTTCTCATTTATATTACATTTCAATGATAAAACTAGAACCAATTGAATTGAATAAGAATTGTATTGTTGCTAACACATCAGACATTTCAACATCTATGTCACATTCTAACCCAATGAAACGATGGCGCAATAGATTTAATTCATCAAATACTAATAACACATTAACACAATCTTCTCTTACAAATCAATTAATCTCAACAGTAAATTTAGAAAATGAAGAACATGCGAATCTTATGATTATTTCTGATGATGACGATGATGATGAATTATCCAATTCACAACAATCAGATCATATGGATGAAGAAATTCCTCTTATCGATCAACATGTCTCATCTAAACGGCCACGATTAAGTTATAATAAACGTTTAGTAGCTAATGCACGCGAACGTGAACGTGTACATAATTTAACAGCAGCATTTGAAGCATTACGACGAGTTTTACCTATCTATGGTGATCAATCGAAATTAAGTCGTTTATCAATATTACGTATTGCTTGTTCATATGTATATGTACTTGGTGTATTAAATGAAATTGATTTTAGCGAAGGAGAAAATGCATATACACTTCACGAGTCATTTCATATGCTTTCATCAACAATTGCACATGAACTTAAACGAAAAAAATTCACGAAATAATAAACTGAACTCATAGATTATTTTTCTCCAGTTCTTAAAATGATTTATTTTATACAAGAAAATTTATAGTTACATGAAAATCAATACGAACTGTTTGATATTGATTTTATGTTATAAATAAATTTGTTTTAGAGCCTTATAATTGTAATCTTTATCTTACCTATAGATGTCGATAATAAGTAATGTATTCGTTATTGATAGGACGAAAAACGTGACTTTTGTCTGAAGAAAAGCTAGTGGAACAGTATATGACTTAGCTTCTCAATTCAATTAAATAGTTCCTTATCTCACAATGTCAGATACATTCCTAGATAATTTTAATGCTAAATGCACTACATATTTCAATTCAGAATTCAATACTCGTTTACTATCTTCCTCATCAACAGATAAGTCAACAGCATGTGAATATTATTTAGCTGAATATCAACGATGTATGAATGAACAAAAAAATTTTGTCAATTATATTCATGAACAAAGAAACTTATTAGATAATTTAAAATCATGTGAAACAACAATCGATACATTTCTTGAACGTTTGAAAATTATACATGAATATGAATTAAAACAAAATGAAATATTCGAACAAATTCTACATGAATTAACGAAAATTGTAAGAGAACTAATTTTTTTCTGATTATTATATGAAAATAAAAAGAAACTCTTTTTAGAATCCATCGAGTAAAGAAGAACGTATTCGACTTTTAGGACAAATTGATGAATTAATTGCTTCGAAACCAAAATTAACAGGAAATATTACGGATAATAATCCAACAACAACAACAACAACAAAACTCATGGCTAAATCAAGCGATACATTTAAAATTATCTTATAAGTTTTTTGTATATATATATATATAATGAAATAAAGTTAGACATTGTATTTCAATTTTGTGTGAAAAAAAGAAAATGTTTTTTTTCAATAAAAATCATTAATTGAACACTTCTTATAGATTGATAGAAGATGGGTATTTTTACAAGGTATTATTATTTCGGTAAACCTTTAATTATTTGTGCTACAACTGGTTTTTTATGGACAACGTTCAATAAAGATAATGATGTTTACAAGGAGAAAATTAATTCTACGATTACTCAAGCTGATCTCATATGTCAAGCGTTTAAAGAAAAACAAGGCATACCAGGTATAAAAGTCAACAGATTATAAATAATTAATTCTAATTTTTTTTCTTCGCTTTAAATAGGTGTTAGTATTGGTGTCACAGTTCATGGTTCAATGGTATGGAGAAAAGGATTTGGTTTAGCTGATATTGAACAACGTGTACCATGTACACCTGATACAATTATGCGTATAGCAAGTATCAGTAAAACATTTACAAGTGCGATTGCAGCACAATTTGTTGAAAAAGGAAAATTAACTTGGGATGATACAATTGATAAACATCATCCTGATCTACCTAAATTTCTATATGAAAATGTGCCTGTTTCAATTACTATACGTCAATTAGCTTCACATACAAGGTATAATAGGCTTATATTCAATTTTCATCAAAGTTTTATCTGATCTTTTTCTTTATAGTGGTATTCGTCATTATTGGAAAAAAGGTGAACCGGAAACACATGATGAATTTCTTCTTCCAGAATATTATTTAACTCGTTCATATCCAACAGTAGCTGAAGCTCTTTCAATTTTTCTCAATGATGAATTACTATATCGACCTGGTACATCATGGTATTATACAACGCATGGTTATACACTATTCAGTGCTGTATTAGAATGTGTTTCTGGTGATAAACGAACATTTGCTGATCTTATAAAAGATCTTGTTATTAAACAACTTGGTTTACGTCATACAAAATTAGAATATCCAGATGAACTTGTATTAAATCGTAGTCGTTATTATTGTCGTCGTAATCTCAAAGAAGGTTTACGTAATGTTGCTTATGTTGATCTATCATATAAATGGGCTGGTGGTGGAATGTTATCAAATGTAAATGATCTTCTTAGTTTTGCTAATACACTTTTACAATGTTATCAAACAAAATCAATAGATTCTCAGACAACAAATCAATTATTAAAATCAGAAACAATTCGTGAAATGTGGTCACCGGTAACAATGACCACTACTAAAAATACTTTTTATGGTTTAGGATGGATGGTTGTAAAAGGAGTACCTTCTTCTATAAATGAATTAACTATACCACCTCATATATATCATACAGGCGGTGCTGTGGGAGCTACATCTGTTCTTCTGATTATTCCATGTACAAATAATTGTTCAAATCCTCGATGTGGTATATGTATATCTATACTAACAAATCTTCAGAGTGCTGAAACTATTTATCAAACAGCATTAGATATTGCTTTACTTTTTCGTCAAATTTCACCATGTTCTAATCAATATAAACTGTGATGTTCAGTTTGTTTTATTATAATTTTTTTCTTTTAATATTGTAAAATTTTTTGTATTAAATAAATGTTTTAATTCTACCAATATTATTCACTTTATATACGTATTGATTGTAAGTACTATGAAATGTCAAATACATTTTTGATAAAATATCGTCTAACATTACAAATAACATATGGAATATATCATAACAGAAATATAGTTTTCTTTTGTAAACGAACAAAAGGTCAATTAGCGGAAATGTTGTAGACAAGAAACTAAAAATAGATTGACTCTTATTCTCATTTCATCCAAAACGTATATAATTCTAATGGTATTTTTTCTCGTGATTTAAGAAATAACATTTATGGTCTGGATGGATTATGTTCATATCTATAATTTGTTTGTAAGAAGATCGAATGATTATCCTATATAATGAGTAATATTGAAAGGCATTTTACAAATTCTATCTTCTTACAATCGTCGAAACTTATAGTAATCGAGATTATGATTTTCTTAAAAGATAATTCCCGCAGTCGTGATGGAATAAAGTAATAACTTCAAATATTAAACATCTTTATCAAGCTGAAAAGCCAAAGGTAAAAGAGTTCAATTGATTAATCAACGTCATTCAAATATTGATAACGTACAAATTTAGTTTAAAAATCAATATGATAGTTAATATTTATTCTTGAGAGAAAAACATGTTTATTGTCTGTTTGCATCAAACATATGAATAGAACTGGAAAAGAAAATCGGAACCGGAAACAGTTTGTTAGCTCCGGAATTGAAACTGCCAAGTCTGAGATTGATCATGGAACCTTTTTTTGTTTTTTATCTTAGACTTGATTTAATCGTTTTCAGATTTTTGTTAAATTTATAAGACAAACAACAAACTGTATTCTATTGGGAAATAATAATAGAGAGATGTGTATTCTCTAATACACTATGCAAAAAATGTGTAGGACATGTCATCGATCGATTATTTATTATTTCTTTTTTTCTACTTGATTGAGCGTGACTTCTTTTTTTTTCTCATACGATCTCAAGTGTGCAAAAGTACTATTAGAGAATAGAAAAGCGAGAAGACTCATTCTATATCAATTATATTAAAAAACGAGTATGACGGTTCTTTCTAGAAAGAGAGTCATGTTGTCTAGAATAGCTGAACTGCTTTGTTTACCTCAATTCTATTCCGTTCAATTTCTTTATGTCAATAAACGTACGCGATAGTGTGTAATGAAGTCGAGAAAGTTGAGATAAGAAAAAGAATAAGACAAAAAGAAAACGCAAACTGAGTAAGAATGGATTGATAGATAAAATTATGTTAGCAGCTTTCGTCGTTTTTGTAATAAAAAAAATAGCAAAAAAAATATTAGTTGTATGTAGGACTTCTCTCATTCTCTCTCTATCATATAGTACTAGCAAGTAATCCGTGTCTCAATTTTTCTACATGACTGCAATTGATGAGAAAGAGAGGGAGAGAAAAGATACTGAGAGTGGAAAAAATGAAGCCTTCATCAAGCAGAAACTTATCGAATAAGAAGGAAATGAAGAAATCGAGCGACGAAGAGGAAGAACTTCTTGGTATCGAGAAATGCAAAAGAAAGGAAAAAGATGTTATTGATGGTGGTGATGATGATTCGTTGAGCAAGAGAAAGAGGAAACGCAACTGCTGCTATTTTTCAAAAAAAAAAAAGAAAAATTCACCATCACTTAATGTTATAAAAAGCATTAGTGTAAGCAACCGAGCAAGAAATATAACACATAGGTAAGTGTTATCATTTATTCATAATTATAAAAATGTCATATACTTAAAGTTGGCTTTTATTATATGTCAATAGAAAAATTTTAACTTGAGTATTATTCTACAATGCTATCAAATATTCAATATTGGGAACAATTTATCGTATATTTTTTTATATTTCTTAAACCAGTATCTAATCAAGGCTTAGCCTGTTATAAATGCATGACAACAAATGCAGAAGATGATGGATGTCGAGATCCATTTTCGTCATTAATTAATCCAGTACAAGTTAATTGTCAGGTAAATATAAGAATTACTTTTCTCTCTCTCTCTTTAAATAATCATTTTGTCATGTATTTACGATGAGAAAAAAAAGAATTCCTGTCGATTTTCATGTCAGAAGTAATTATTTTCTATCTATCCTGTCTTTTCCTTAGAGTACAAATTGAATAATTTGATTAGCAGCAAAAAAAGTTAGTTATGAACGATGGGGCATAGGGCACTTGAGAGTAAATGCCTAATATACTTGTAAACTGAATAACATAAGACTCTTGAATTTTATTCAGGCAACATCGGTAGGCAAAAATGGAACATTTCCGGCTCGATTTTGCGTTAAAATTAGTGGTCGTATTTTGGGTATTGACGATGGTGGGAACAATTCTTTTTTAAATACTATTATCTATTATCGAACATGTGTTGTCGATAATATTATGGAATCAACAAAATCATTAGAATCATCAGGCAATTTTCGTTTAAAAAATTTTCCAGATATGTCTGGTTCAATTCGTCTACAAGGTGTCATGTCACTTTGTGCATTTGATGGTTGTAATTCTGCACAAACTCATATATTTTCATTATCAATTATTCTTACTGGTATGATGTTCAGTATATTTGTACATCATTATTATTAAATGTATAGTAGTATAAAGAGTCTGTTAATAAGAATTTAGATGGTTATTTCAATAATTAATGTTATTTATAAATGTGAATTATTTTCGTAGACAAACTTGTAAAAAAATATATATATAGATTACTTTTATAAAAAATTTGTTTTTTTGAACTCATGATAGTGTAAACATGATAATCAATAAAAAATGAATAAAATACATGAGGGAATATGATTCAAGCTTTCAATATGATTTCATCATCGACTGAATATGTGATTTTCTATTGTTACTTAGGATAATCTCAGATGAGTATATGAGATTTTTACTAGATTATTATTCTTTTTCTTTTTCTTCTTCTCGTTGGCATTAACGATAAGAAGCTCCACTTGTTTATAATGATGAATATTGTATTTTAATTAAAGAGAAAAGAGATAAAACATCATATTATTGGTTCTTACAGCATTTACTAACATGTCTTCATATCTTGAAGGTTTCCATCATTTTTCAACGGATGCATTAGCTGCTTTCTACGTCATGTTGTAATATAGAATATACAAAATAGCTACTATTACATTAATGATAGCGATGATTTACAGCTGTTGTCTCGACAGAAAAGATTCTAGTGAGATGATCAACTATATGTCTATAGAGAATAACTGATGCATTTTGGTTTTTAAAAAAATAAATTCTAAATTTTCATGGAATTTAATGTTTGTCTAAAATTTGCAGTTTTGCTTGCATTATGAATAGTAGAGTAAACAATTCTATTTTACAAGATCATATAAAAAACAGATGATCAAAAAAAAGTAAAAAGTATTATATTGTGAAGAATCTAATGTATTTAATGTTAACACAGTAAATCAACATCTAGCCATGTCAAATCATTAGTCTCTACGGATTAAAATAATTCTACTCTTAAGAGAGCTATAATGAATAAACTATCGTAAAATTTTCAATCCTATGGCCTGGCGTTTGATCGGTATATATTGAAATTATTACAATTTCTTCTTGAAGGCGGACTAACTCTAATACGTTTATCCCAATCTCTGATGAGAATACCTTCACGATTAGTTTCGTGCTGTAGTCTAAACTTGTTTTTTAGTAGACATTATTTTGATTTATTTCTATGGTGTGTTGTTTAAATACATAAGTCAACATTTCAGATATATTCTAATCAATTTCTACGAACATAGAGAGATGCATCTCTGTTATGTAATTTGTGCTAGAAAACTCATAACTCTATTTCTCTTATTTATATCAAAAAAAGAAGAGCGGAAGATGTAGCACTTGTTTTTTACGGAAAAATTTATTGCAAGAAAAACCTTGGGATTCGGAGATAAGTTTTCTTCGAGAATAAAAAGCTATCAAAAGATGATTTGTATTTCGCAGATCGATGACTGATAATTTATAGTATATATATGTGTTAATGTAAAAAGACCAATCGAAAAATGTTCTGCTGTACGTTCGGGAAGGCAGGAAATACTCTTAATTGAATATATATTAATAAAAACAAGTCTATTTCAAGTTAGAATCTGCATGATGTTGATCTTTAACCATCTTGTGAAATATTCTCTCCTTTTTTGATCTCTTGTATCTTGAGAGTGTGCGTATTCAATTCCATCCACACCCTCAAAAACAACTAATCATGAAACTGAAGATCAACGACCATTCTCAAGTTATATAAATTGTAATCATAAAGAATTGTCAGTTCGTCGCACATCAGCAAGTTCAGCAGAAGATTTTTCTGGTGATAAATATTCTTCATCTAAAGCAAGAAATCAAAACACTCATACTACATCAGAAGTGCCGTATGATACAACTGGAAAAATTGATTCAAATGATACTCATAAGAATGATTTCGATTCAACTTTTGATACAAAATCATGGTTTACTGATGGAAATTCTGATCAGAAACAATATGTGTATCATGATTGAAGGTCACTAAAAGAGTTTAGACGAATTAAATTTATCAAATTCAGTTTTCTTGATTCTAATTGATATTTTCCAATAGTTGAAAAAAAAAGTATCCAATAGATATAATATGAATTTCAAACATTGAAATCATCTTAGTTTAAAAAAAAATACTTTAGTTTATTTTTAGAATAACTATGATAAACAAAAAGTGGAAGATAAAAATATATTTCTATTAGCCGTAGCACGTGCAATTGAAAATTTACCTAAAATATAAATCATTTGTTTTCTTGGTAAAATAAGATTCTTATTATACCTATACCCGGTGTTCCAACGACGAGAATACTACGTGGTGGTGATTTAATACAAATTGCTTCAAATAATCGTGGATGTTTCAATGGTACTTCGACCATTTTTTTAATTTGTGTTAATTGTTTTTTTACAGCACCAATATCTTTATAACCAATTGCATTTAATAATACTTCCATTTCTTCACGCTCGATTGAGTCATTTTCGTAATGTACATTTGTATTAGGTCCAATAGTACAATAAAGACTAGGATCGACTTTAACAACTATAAATTCAATATCACCTGTATTTGCAGTTACAACGAAAATATCATTTTCTTTTACTGGTCGACGAGTTCCCATAACTGGTGTTTTTAGATAAGTGTCAAATGGATTGTCTGTTATTCCTTCCCAGGTCGATTATTACGCACTTCGTAAACGATTGAATACGACCATATACGACCGTATTTCACCGGTTTTTGTCGTATTACCTGTAGCCGTATTACGATCGTATGTCTCCGTACCGTATACGGAAAAGTATGATCGTTTACGGAGTAATCTATACTATGACGAAAACTTTCTTTCCAAGTTAAACTTTTTCGTAAGCTTGTCTAGGTATTTTCTCTTTTCTTTTCTTCGACCCCTAGATCAAATATTATATAATCTAGTCGGTCGATCATCTTTTCTTTTCTGATGTCATGTCGTAGATCATACATATTTTCTTTTTATGTTTAATTCTAGATTATTGTGATCATACATGCAGGGTGTGGATGAGAGTGTGCGTGTGTGTATTCAATTCCGTCCACACCCTCAAATTGGCTTAAGATAAAATTTCTGATTATTATTTAAATTAAGAGAATGTCTGTTATATTGATGGAGAAACCTCCAGGCGTTGCCTTAAGAAATTTAGCATTTCGAATTTCTGACTATCGGTATTTTGAAATCTTCTCGATGAAAACGAAAGGGATTTGAGAAATGTTTTTATTAAAAAGATCAAAATTAAATGCTCTGTCAACCCTGACAGTTTCGTAAAAATCTGAGAAAAGTTTTGTAACAGGTTGTTGAGATTTCATGGAGATATTCGTATAGAACTTCGTCCAGCCACACGAATTCACGATTAAGGATTTTGTTGCTTTTCAATATGATAGAATCATTTCTATTTCAATTTGTATGGTTCCTCCTATTTATGTTTTATTGAACAATAATAGTACAAAAAAGAAGATGACCTATATCGGTTTTCAATTTGATTTCTTATTATTGATTATATTCTTTTTTTTCGAACGAGTTGACGATCGACCTGGTCTATTTTTAGAAGATTTTGTTGATGAACTCGATCTACTTTTAGGAGGTTTCTTTGATCGACTCGATTTTTTCACAGGTCTTTTTGTTTTACTCTTCTTGAGTTTTTTCTGCATGGATTTTGATGATTTAATTTTTGGCAATTGTTTAGATTTATTAACTTTCGTTGGTGGTATAAGTGTTTGTTGTTTCTGAGGAGGTTTTTTGAATATTTCAGATTGTGTATCAGTTTCTTGATTTTGTAAGTTTGCTGATAATTTATTTGTATCATTCTTATTAACAACAAATGGTATGACATTATCTGATTGATTTTTTTCTTCTGTCTGCTGTTGACTAAATAATGATTGTAATGATGTTTTTTTCTGTTTTTCTTGTTGACGTTTTGCTGATTGTATTGAATAGTAAAGTAATTCAGCATCAAGTGGTAGTAGTACTTCCGGATCGATAATTTTTTCATTGTAAACAACCGGTGTATTGAGTATTTTATATGCATCATCTGAACACAATGCACATGATGACCAACATGCATCAATATAATCATATTCTCCTGTTGATTTCGACCACTTTCGACAGCTTTCAGCAGTATTTCGACCACAACACAAACAAAGTTGATGAGTTGGCCAACAAATATCTGGAAAAACAAGAATTCAAATTTGAAAATATTGAAAAAATCGATTATATGATTTATCTAACTTTTACAACACATCTCTACATAACCAGGTCGTTTAATTAGTTTTGGTAATGGTTGCATTTGTGCATATGGCAATTCTTCTGGTTTAGTTTTCCAACTAAAACTACGTGTAAAACGATGTGCATGATTTTGAAAATCACCAGGAAATATTTCTTGTGAATTACAAGCAGAATTTTTTGTTAAAAATTGTTTATTATATGTATTAGATTCATTCAAATGAGATCGACGAACGAGTGTTGATTGTGGTACTCGAATAATATCATTCTTTGTCTTTATTTCAATACAATCATTTGATAATGCATCATTTCGTTTTTGATTATTGAATGGTACATAGAAATTACTCGGTAATTTAAGTTGAGAATTATCAAGTACAGTAGGTAGATTAGGTAGAGGAATGTATAAAGGTGCATACAGTGGTCGATTTAAATAATCCTTTTCAGTTGAATGACAATCTGAACAATCAATATTTGATGGTACATAATGAACGCAATATAAACGAGATTGTGCATCAGTTTTTAGCATTCATTTGTTTAACTATAAGCGCTTTTTTGTTTTTAAAACAAAATTAAGATATCTATTATTTTCAGCTGATCGTATATTTAATTCTTTACAGGCTTTAACAACACATTATCATATTATTCACCTTCGATATACTTGAAATCTTTATATAATCACATTTTTTATTTATATAGAATAATTCTTTATACGTGAAAATTGCTTTTTTATTATTATTATTATTAACACATCACAAACAATAGAAAAATATTACACAGAAAACATATCGATAAAAAAATGTCACTAATCTATTTAATATATGACTTATACACATTAACCTTACATCTCGTTAGTATTATATAATAATGACTAGATTTTTTTACGTTGTCTTTGCTTTGAATAAAATTGTGCACGTTGGTAGACTGGATCGTCATCTGCATCCTTTAAGGTTACATATCGACTTAATATATAAACGATAATAAATGTCAAAGAAGTCATAAAGCCAAAGAGAATATACCATGAAGTTTCATCAAAATGTGTTGGTATATACGATTGAATTGTAAGAAGAATATATTTTTGTATAGAAATATAGGGTCGTGTTAAAAATATTAATACACTATTAATAATATTTACAATCATAGATATATAATCTGTAAATAAAAATAAAAGAATGTCTAGTGTTTTTTTATTTTTCGATATTATCACCGAGCTTTATTCTGTCTACATTATGGTTGTTTATTAATGACTTATAATATAGAATATTAGGGTTTTGTTTTTTTTTATAAAAAAGCAAAAATTTAGGATTAAAAGAAATGGAAAGAAGAATAACGAGATTATCACGAGGAAAATATAAAAGGTAAAATTCAGAAATATTTCTGTGTGATAATAAATTTTAATTGAGTTACATTAGATGTTTAAAATTTGAATCAATTATTAATGATTGATCTTGTCCTTGAATACTCGACGCTTTCGATAATTGATTTGTTGGCGATACTGTTGTATTTAGTCTCGATGAACTACTTGTTTCTCGTACTGTTTTTAATCGTTCAAGTTCTTGTAATAATTGCCGATGTTGTAATTCAAGTTGTTTTTGACGAAAATTATTAATGACTTCTAATTCTTCACGTTCTTCCGCTAGAATAAAAATAGAAATCATTATTATTATTCTATTCTCATGAATTAGTTATACTTACAAATAAAAAGATTTTCTGTTGTTGAATGTTCTTCTTTAAGTTCAGCAACATGATCAAAGATTAAACCATCAACACGTAAATCTAATAGACTTTTCGATACTTCTTTATCACCTTAATTAAAATAACAAAATTTAGTTTTTGTTTTGTTTTTTTTTGATTAGAAAAATCTTACTTGCTTCATCACCCCAAATAAATAATAATTTGCCATTTTCTTTAACATGTTTAACAAATTCTTTATTTGAAAGTATATCAAGTACAGGCGCAGCTAAACCCGATAAATGTTCGGTAACAATAAAACATAAACCAACATTAATAGACCATGTTCGAACATCTAAAAATTGTGGCCAATCACCTTTTTCACCTTGTGTTAAAAATAAAACGGGAAATAATGTTTGTTTACGTCGAAGCATGGAAGCACAATCGGGATCGAAAGTTGATAATACAATGACGCGTTTGCCAGCTAAAAGAAAGAAATTAGTAAAACAATTCTTTTTATTTTTACTATTTACCATAAGTAATAAGACATCGAAGGATACAATCAATATATTCATTACGTTCAAAATAATGATTTTGTTCACTACCACCTTGTTTATATTCCATAGCATATTTAATTTCAACATTAAATCCAAGATGTGGATCGAGTTTTTCGAAAAGTTCTTGTAAAGTTGGAAATAATGAACGAAATTTTTTCTCATCTTGTTGTTGTCCGGAATGACTTGTTATCATTTGTTCATTTTCTCCATTCGTCATTGGAGTAAATGTTGTTGGTGTTGCAGCTGCTGTTGTTGTTGTCATTGTTGGAGTTATATTATTATTTGTATTTGTTTGATCATCATCATCTAACTCTTCATCACCTTTTCTTACTTCACCTTCTTTACTTGCATGATAAATTTTTAAACATTGTAATTGCGGTAATGTTAAATCTTTAACTGGTATGACAAATAATTCAGCTTCTTGTCCTTTACGTTTAAGTGTAATAGCAACTTGAAAATCATGATAAACAACTGGGATTTTATCCTTTGATAATTGAACATCAAATTCAACAAAATCAAAGCCAAGTTGAAAAGCACCTTTAAATGAAGCTAACGTATTTTCACTAACAAATTTTGTTTGAACTGGTCGTGATGTTGATGGTAGAGGTGGTGTTGATGAATCACCAATACGTTGTTTAGTTGAATCATTTGGTGGTGTTGTTTGATGTGCTTTCGATGGAATGTGTTCAGTATTTGTTTTACCTAAACCTCGATGACCGACATTAACTGGTCGTCGACCTTGACGCCAATATTTTGATGGTGTAACAAGAAATTTCTGTTGAACACTTTCCAATGGTGTTATCAATAATACATCGATTTTTATCTGACCAATACTAAACAAAGATTTTGTTTTAGAATTTATAAATCAATCAAATAGAATACTAACGGATTGTGTTTAAGTCCAATTATCGGTACAATACGATTAATATGTTTATTATCTGCTAATTCAAGATTTGAATGTATTGGTAAAACATATGCAAAACCGATGTGTTTTCTAAGTGAAGTCGTTTCATCGACAAGATAAAAATCAATATGATAAGCAACATTTTCGGGTTCAAATGTTTGAATTTTAACAACCATATAATCATCTTTTTCTATAACTGCACCATAATCACTTTGAAAATTCGCTTCACAACCGGATAAACGTAATATTGCTGATTGTATAAAGACTTTCGATGTTGGTGTATAAACTTGACTAGATTGATCAGATAGAATTTCTTCATTTTCTTGTTGATAATTTAAATCTATAAAAAAATAATTTTTTTTGTAAAATAAAATTCAAAATAAAAATTATATATTTACCAATAGGTGATACTTTTAATGATATTTTACTGTTGCGTAATTTAGATGACCATATTTGTAAAGCATTTGAATGGAAACGAAGTTGAATTTCTGTTTGACCTGTTAACCAACCAATGTCAGTACGATCTTCGCCCTTATAACATCCAAAAATAGCTGGAAAATCGTCAGGTGGTTCGCTATCAACTGTCGTATCAGTTATCGGCGGAGGTCCATCATCAGCTTCGTTTGTTATATGATTAAGTGATAACAAACGTGCTTTCTTAAATGTTTCCCCTGAAAAAAAAAATGTTTTTTTTACAAAATATTTCATTTAATAAAATCTTACATTTTTTAACGATTAAATTTAAATCATCATCAATTCGTACAATTTGTGCAATTAAATATCGATAAAATATTTTTTGTGGTCCATAAATTTTAATATTAGTTGACCATATTTCACCGTCATCAGTTTTATCGGTACGATTCAATGGTATACATCGATTTGGTAACCATTCACCCAGTTGTTCACATGAACCAGTAACAAGCACACTATCACAAGGATTTAATTTTTCTTTAATAAGTACGCGAAATTCAACATCGTAGATAACTCGACGAATCATTTGTTTTTTTTTTCTTATGATATATTATAAATAATCCAAGAGAAAAACTAAAGATTTATATATAAAAGAAATGCATATATATTGTAATTTGTTGACAGATAATAAAACTGTAAATGTTACCAACCATGTTAGAATAAATTTTGTTCTTCCATTATTTTATACTGACAAAAAGAATAATAGTAAATAGGCGAGAGAAGAAGAAGAAAAAAAGAAAATCATACAAATTTTGTTGCCATTTTGGAAGAAGAAAAGGGCAGTAAATATAGAATAATAGGAAAAAAATTCAACGAATATCTCGACAGGGGAAATACGTTTAATTAATAAGACAGCTGGTGTTTTTTTGTTATTTAGATGAACACGGCTAGGGCGTGATCAACTCGTGATTCATCAAGACATTCTTGGAAAGCGAAGAGTTCAAAGTGTAAGATAGAAGAATGTCGCTCGCTTGCTTATTTATCGTTTTTACAGCAAGTTCCATGATGTTTCCTCCTAGATGTCACGCATAACCAGTAATCAGAAAAAAGAAAATTATAGTAATAACTACGATACAATTATATATGTCGATAAGCAATAGAGTGCATTTGTTTTTATCTTATTAGGAACGAGATAAGATCTACAACTTCGATGTAAAAACAAAAATTTTATTTTATTTTTTAGTACATATTTTATCTGAGGTTAGAAAGACTCAAAAAATGTACGTGCGTGTTTTTACCGTATAATTGTCAAAAGTGCAATATATAATCTATGTTGCTGTAATAAATAACAACGAGATACAATATGTTTATGGCTGTAAAGAATAAGAAAATGAGTTTACCTCGAATATATATATTTTTGTTTATGCCTGCACATATAAGCTTACATTAGTTCTCTGATCATATTTTCGTAGACGCATGTCAATGTTTTCCATAATCATATTTCTGTTATTGTAAACGATAACGATAGGACAAAGTGTTATGATTTACCTGAGTCATATCAAGTGATAAGTACACCACGAGAATAAGCGTAGATGGCGATATATTTCATATTGTATTTTATATTCTTACGAATCTTAGGTGTACATCGAGTTTACCATGCTTGCATTGTGCAGTAGGATTATCAAGTCAGTTCGATTACATATAATTATTGAAAATTATTTTTTATTATCCATTAATTGGCTATTAATATGAATTGCCTAAAATAGTGTCTTTTATCATTATTTGTTATGATTAAAATTTAAAATAACATTTTGTTATTGGGATCATCTCCGACAATTTCTTCATACAAAAATCTTAATTGACTATATAATGCATGTGATCCAGATTTGATACTAAAATCTGTTACATTCTGATCATGGAATAACATTTGTCCATATAAGAATTTACATTCTTTTGACATTTTTCTTTTATATTATAACAATATTTTCGATTCTTTCTCGAATACCAAACTAAAATTTCTTCTAAAAAAAGATTTTCGATAAATAATTATCAAATAGTGTACGTGCTTGATGATGCCATAAAAAATAGCTTCCAATATGGTTTTTGATTGATTTAATTTGAAACATTGACATAAATCGTGTAAGTTTTGGTGATAACCTTTACTTCTATGATATGTTTTTCTCAAGATAAAAGTTAATATCTTTTTTCTATATTGAATGTAACAGAGATGGGCAACTCCAACTCGGAGTTGGAGTTAACTCCGGAGTTGACACTTTAACTCCTTGAAGTTGGAGTGGAGTTAGATCAAAATTTTGAAAAACTCAGTGGAGTTGGAGCAGAATTTTGAAAAACTGGGTGGGGTTGGAGTGGAGTTGGAGCGGGGTTGGAATTGAGTTTTGCAAAAATGGGTGGAGTTAGAAAGAGTTGGAGTTGGAGTTGTAGTTTATTTTTAGAAAATTGAAGTGGTGTACCCCCGGAGTTGCCCATCTCTGGAATGTAATAAAGTACGAATTATTTTATCACATCAAAAAATAAAACTTCACTTTCAACAACTTGCTATTATTGGACTAGTTCATCTCAAATTACCAATTTACTAGAAAATTATTACATTCTCAGCATTCATTGAATCAATGACGTATGAAATAGTACCAAAACCCATCTTATTACTCATCTCCGCCATTTCAGATCGTTTTTTTCCCCACAAGTAAAAGTGCATTTCTTTTTTCTATTATTAGATTAAACATATATTTAATTCTTGCATGTAAAATATGTATTGTATTCATTGTAACAAGAATAATACGAACCAAAAAAAAATACATTAATAGCAAAAAAAAAGAAAACGAATGTATATCAATTACACAAAGAAAAATAATAAACCAAAAAAAAAAGAAGTCACAAAAAAAGATAGATTCTTTTTTTGTTTTCATTTCATCATCTGAAAGACACACTATTCATAATTATTTTATACAATTAAATAGTTTATAGATGGAAGAATGTAGAGAAATATTCCAAACATATATAACCATCACGTTCTTTGCTGAGAAGAAAAAAAGATTCAATAAACTGTATCATTCAACTATTGATATATGTGAAAGTGGAAAAGAATAACACACAAGCAAACAAAAAAATTAAAGTTAGAATGTAGAAGTTATCAAACACAAAAAAAAATCAAACAATATTTACAGGACATTTATTTCTAGAATATTAAGATATATTTATTTAATGCTTAATAAATTAGGAAGAATATATTCGGATTGAATTTTTTATACATAATTACGATCCTTAAGGATAGAGGAAGCTAATAGACGAGGTGTTACATTATTATCAGATAACAATTGAGCATTTTCACGGTCGATTATTTTTGCTCGAAGATCATTTACTTTCAATCGCCCTAGAAGTATGAAAAAAAAGAAATAAATATTTGTTTTATTTTAGGGTATAAAAATCTAAGCATAAAAAGCCGTTAGTGTTTATACAAAAAATATATAAGACAAAGAGAGCGCGCACGCGCATACTATGTCACTTACCGGCAACGTCAATATATGGTTGGAACATCGCGGCTTAGCGATGCTGAAGAGAAACATAAAAAATAAATGAGCATCAGCAATAAATAATTATTCAATATATCCTTATTAAAAAAAGCGTAGAAACCTTTCCCTAGAGGCATGAATTATCGATCGTCAAATATAAGCGTAAGTAAGCTGGCAATTAAAAATATACCAGCAATATATGACAGAAGCATTAATAAAAAAAGGCATTGTCGAAATAGTAGCGATTAGTCTACCGTTGTAGAACGAGGATTTCTTGATGGTATAGGTGGTGGTGGTGGCCGCTGCTGTGCTGACCGAGTTCCACCCTGAGATGACGATGGTGGTGGTGGTGGTGGTAGACGATGCTGTGCAGCAGCAGCAGGTCGATTATCACCACGAGACGATGGTGGTGGTCGCTGTACTTTAGTATTATTTAATTCATTCAATACTCCAGCAAATGAGGCAACTTCTGAATGGGTACGATTTACAAACAAAATATAACACATGGGTAAAAAAAGGAAATCTCTATATCTAAGGATAAGAAACATACCTGGTGGTCGTCGAACTCCTCGTCTTTGTTGTGATACCATATTTGTATCTTTGAGAACAGACATAAGATTTGATACAACATCAGTATCTTCATCACCTATAGATAATTTATATGAAACTATTTCATAGACAAAGACTTTCAAAAAAAAATTTTACTTGGTTTAAAATATTGTTTAACTTGTGGTTTCGGTTCAGCACGATGAGTCTTTCGAATTTCATCCACAAGGTGTTTTGATTGTTTGGCACGTTGAGATTTTTCTTCTTGTTCACGCCATAAACGATTTTCTTGTAAGCATGTTAGAAATACTGTACAGAATGTTTTTAAGTCAGTAAAAAAATCACTTAATGGACATTTTTTCGAATCAATTGTTAAATAATCACATAAATTCTGATAAGCATTTGTTAATTTAACATGTAATGCTTCCAATCTTTCAACATCACCACGTGCTGATTTAACAAAACCCTAAATAAACAAATAAAATATATTAATAGAAAAATTATTTCATATTTAAATTACCTCCAATGAATCAGCAAAACGATCTCCTGGGATTGAATCTGTTGTAGCAGTTTTTGCATTATCTACATCTGTTTGTGCACCAGCTACACGTGATTTTATTTCATTTAATGTACGTTGTAATTCATTGGTATCAACTATATGGAAAATCAATGAGTGTTATTTTTCTACAAGGAAAAGTTCGTTTACTTTTTGATGCTACTTCAGCAACACCTTGAAATTCATCACCAAATTTTAATAAATCCGCGTGATCTTTTTCAATTTCTTGTAAAATAAAATGTAATAATGTTCGTTTACCATCATTTGCTTTTGTTGAATGTAACTATTTAAAAAAAATATATGATATTGATTTCTATTTTAACAAATCATTTTTACTTTTGGAAGAAAACTCATATCGAAACCATATATAGGTTCATAAGTTTTAGCACTTGAATTCATATAATTACCAATTGTTAATACAAGTTCGATTAATTTTGGAAAACGTTTCGATTGACGAACTGTATCACAGGCTTGTCGAGCAGCAACAAGATTCTTCGAAAATAAATAGAAAAAGTTCATATTTAAACTATACGAATTTAAGAATATATACCTTTTCAGTATCCTCGAGTAATTCTTTGTATTGACTTTTAAATAGAAGTATTTTAATACGTTGTTGTAAACGTTTAATATCGCTGACCTATTTATAAATAAATAATCGATTTGAAAAAATATTTTTATCGATAAAAAAAATTGAACATACAGCACAAAAATACTGTTCTGAATCAGGTAAATCATTAATTTCATTTTTTAATTCAGAAAGTTTTTTTAATTCTTCTGCACTAGGTAATGATTTATCTAGTTGAGCAAGTAAATCACTTGTTAAATGTTGACTATCACAAGAAAGTAACCATTGACGAAATTGTTGTGGACTTGATTTCAATTGACTAAACATAATAGCTAAAAAAACACAAAATTGATTAATAATAAAAATATAAAATTATCAAACCAAAATTTTGACCAGCACGTGGATCGAGTACACGAAATTCTTTGGTTTTCTTCGTTGTTGCTGTCGATGATGATGATTCAGTATCACTATCAGGAAGATTTTTAGCTAATAATGAATAAAATTATTTTATTTATGAAATTGATATTGATACATACTAGGAGCTGATTTTGTAGCAAAATTTTGTTTGATTGTTGTAAAGAAATCTTTATTTTGAAAATTTTTTTCATCAATATTTGCCCAAATCGATTCCTTTTTAATTGATTGAGGATTTATTTTGTTCCAAGCTACTTTTTTAACAGCTTCACCAACGACATATTTTTGTTTTGGTCGTAAATATTCAGGCATTGGTGGTGGACCTCAAAAAGTGTAAAAAAAACAATAATTCTTGATTAATAATAATAATGCAATTTGTTATATACCAAGTGGAGGAGCATTCATACCCATCATTGGTGGGGGTGGTGGTGCACCTCCAACACCAGCCATACCTGGAAATGGTGGAGGCGGAGGTGGTGGACTTCCACTACCAGTCATTCCTGGAAACGGTGGCGGTGGAGGTGGTGGTCCTCCGCTACCTATCATTCCTGGAAATGGTGGAGGAGGTGGTGGTGGTGGTATACCACCTTCAGTCATCATTGGAGGTGCTGGTGGTATGAGACCTGGAAAAATTGTTTATTTTGATTTCTCTTTTCGAAACAATAAGCAAGCAGAAGTAAAAGAAAGATAAAGAAAAGCAAGAGGAGCAAACAAGCCGTAAGATATAATCTGACCTGGCATAGGAGGAGGTGGTGGAGGTATATTTCCTGTAGATATATTTATGTTTTTTATTTAATCATTCTTCAATATATTACCTGGTGGCGGTGGTGGTGGCATCAAACTTCCAGGTAATGGAGGTGGTGGTGGTGGCATATTTCCAAATGCTGGTGGCATCGGTGGCGGTGGTGGTATATTTCCCATTGTGGATGGAAACGGTGGAGGTGGTGGTGGTGGAATATTACCAGACGAACCATTTGTCGAGGGTGATTTACCAAAAATATCACTGTATTGTCTTTTGAATTGATTTCCTGTTTCTGTATCGACCTAATATTCAAACAGAAATTCTAAACACTTCTTTTCTTTTCGTTCATCATTTACTTGTGTTAAAATCGTTTCCAATGCTTTGGATAATTTTTCTCTTGTTTGTTCAAGATGTTCAATACGTCCTTTCATTAAATTTATTTGTATTTCATTTTCTGTAGCAGCTAAATTATTCGCAGCATTTCCAGTCATTTGTGATAGATCATGTATTGAACCATTACGTGCTGATGGTAAATGATCACTTAAACTTAAACCTGAATCACCAATTGATTCACTATCCATTGAATATGTATCAAAATCAGGATCACATGCTGTTTTCGAAAACACAATACGTGTTATACTTTCATCAATTAAACGTAAATACGATTGACTTTAATTTAGAAAAAAAATAAATAATATTGAAATGAATATATTTTTCTAACAAACCGAATAGCTTGATCATCTCGAATACATATAAGACGATTGATAATACTTGCAAGTATTGGTTCTGATGATGTATTTTTAACTAAACCATATAAATAATCAAAACAAGCTTGAAGATCACTAGAAAATAAATATATTTATTATTATTTTTTTTGTTTAACAAAAGAAAAGTAAGTTTCTTACGCCCATGTATTTGATATTGATTCAAGTTTAATATTCATTGATTGATAATCATCTTCGATATGACGAAGAAATAAATTAATATGTGCTGATAAATTATCTTTTTGTTTTGGATCTTCACATTCAACAACTTTCTTTTGTAATTTCTATTTTAATAAAATATTTTGTAAAAAAAAATCAATATTTCCCATTTAATCTTTTACTTCGAAATGTGTTTTAAAACCAGAACGAAATAATTCACTACGTAAATGATATCGATCTTCTGTTGATAATGTAACAAATATTGCATTGATACACATTAAAAAACTAGTCTGAAAAACATGAGAAATAGAAATTTTAATAAACTATTAGATTCTATACATACAGCTATTTCTATTCCAGCTTCGAATGAATTAACTAAACAATCAAATCGTTCACGACCAGGACACCATTTTTTAGCAGATTGTGATAAAAGTTGAACAATATTCTGACCATTCGATGGACTAAAAATATTCCGTGAAGCGAGTCATATAATTATTTCTAAACATACTTATTTTCATTCGGCATAGCTAATGTAAATAAAAGAATTGCACATGCTTGTTTAATTTTATTTAAACGTTCATCATTTTCCATATGTATAATATTTAATACATCAATAGTAATTTCCGCAATCTCTTTTGCTAATGATTCTTTCATTGAATTAAAATTCCAACCAAGATTAAGATAAGTTTTAAATGCTTCAATACCAGCACCAAGTATTTCATATAATGTACTTTGCTTTTCTTTACGTTCATCACCATCTTTAGTCGCCTTTCTATTTTACATTGAAAATAGTCAGAGAGAAATTCTAAGATGAAATAAAACATACTCGCGAGTAAATTCAATTTTAGCTATACAAGCTCGCATTGCTTTAAGCATTGCATTTGGTCCATTGGATTTCTCACCAAATACTTTACTCCATTTTAAACCATATTTTTTTAATGAAAATGCAACACGTTCAAATGTATCTTTACTATTTCTCGAATAAATATTATCAATAGTAACATTATTTAAACTTTGAATTTGATATTCAGGTGATTTTGGACCACTCATTTCATTCTAAATTAATTTCATTATTTTCAAAACAGAAGAAAGAAATTTTTTATTTACGGTAGCAAGTTTATAATGTGAACTAAGCATTTCTCTCATATGAGCTGTTGTTGTTTGTTCGAACATTTTCTTCTTTGTTTCATTTCCTTCAAATAAATCATCCTTAACAAAAATGAAAATATTTAATTATTGCTAATATTGACGAAATATTTACTAACCATAACAGATTTGAAACGTTCTCGTACTTCATCATCAGTCAATGAAGTAACATCAAGATCGTTTGTTGTTGTAGTTGATGAAACAGGAGTTAATTCCGATGCTCCATATGTTGTAAAGGAACTATCACTACTTGCAGTCAAATGATTGCCTCTATGAGAACTGGAAGCTGTATGATCAGAGCTTGTTTCGAATGGAATTGGAGCACGTGATTTTCCAGATGATATTCTCATCGATTTCTATAATTATATATATGATAAGAACAACATAATCTAGATCAATTGATGAGTTTTTCTCAACAAATTCAATACAATTATATTTATTCTATGGTTTATCAATTTTTACACTCAAATACAGTCATATTTATATTAGGGGTAGTACAGTTGGCAGTTCCAAGTTCAGATTAACTGCCAATACAGCTCTTTTTAGAAAACTGTTGTGAAAACTAGTTTTTCGTAAATAAAAACAAATTTGAAACAGACCAGTTTCTCTAAAAGAACTATCGATACAGTTCAGTTCCTTTCAAAAGAACTATTTAACAGTTCCCAAGAACGGAATTAATGTGGAACTGTCATATCATAGATAAAACTTTGCATCTAACAACCCAGGTCATTTTTTTACGGTAAAACGGAATTTATGCACCATCTGCTGTATTAAATTAAATGCAAAAATATGCATGATGAATCATATTTTCATAAAACAAGATCTATAACCTTACCATTAATTTTGATGAAAGTGTTCCAACCTATAATTATAAGAAATATTAATACAAAAAAAATGAATTTCTATATTATTATTACCGAAATATCTTTTTTCTTTTCTTTTCCTTTTTTCTTCTCATGTTCATGCTGTCCATCATCACTCATTCTAATTATTAAATTCTAAATATCTTATCTAAAAAGAAAAAAACTAAACTTAGAATTTAATTATGACACAATTGATTTTTAATAAAATTTCCATATATTTTCGCATTCTGTCGATTTTGATGTTTTATTATCATTGTACATAAACGATTATGTTCATTTTGTCGTCTTTCTTGTAAATATGTATTATTTGTTTGTTTTATATTTGGTATAATTCTTTGATGATGATGTTTATTATTATGATGATGATAAATATCGTTAACACGTTTTCTTGATTGTTGAATAAATGAAGATTTCCGTTGTTGAAATGCATGTTGAAGTGAAGAAATATTTTTACTATTATCATTCAATGGTAAAAAAAATGTCAGGGAAGAAGAAGGACGACTAGATGAAGATTTCTGTTTTGATTGTTTGATTAATTGTTGAATTTTTTGTAATAAAATTTTTTGTTTTTGTTGACAAAGTGTTAATTCATGAAATAATTCATGAAGTGTAGATGTATATTGATTTTGATGAGTAAATGTCTAAATAGAAGGAAAATAAAAGCATTATTTAATGTTTTTATGATAGGTCATAAATATGTTTTATGAAAAAAAACTATTCTCATTACAATTGTATTTAAGAGAATTTCTTATATATATTTGCAATCAATTGAGAAAAGGGCAAATAAAATAATGTGGTATTTTTCTTTGGTATTCTGTCAGAAGGTTCGTGTTAATAGAAATGACTTACAGATATATTCGTTTCCACTTGATTATCTTCACCGGTTATTAAAGTTTGTTTTGTAAGAGGTAATATTGAATGAAGACTTGCATTATTATGATCATGTGATGATATTGATTCAGTACCTTAATTAATAAAATTGATAATCGAATATTAGTATGAGCCTATTAGAATACCATTTGTTCGATCTTACAAACCGAGAGATGACTAATGATTCGAAAAATAGCTTTTAGTGAAATCGAAAGTAATGACTCATTGTTTACAGACAGTCAAATAATGATTAGAGATCTAACGAAAAAATTTCAAAGAATAAAATTAGATTAAATATTTTTGCAGCTATGCCCTTTTATGTCAATTCACCTGTATGATTCAAATTGACACGTGAGAAATACAATGATTAATACTCCCACCTGGCTTCATATTTATTTTTCGCTCTGTACTCTATTTATTTTATTGTACATATTATTCATTCTCTCATACCCGTAGATTCATGATGTGTTATTGGACGAAAATGGTATTTCTCTGGTATTTCAGATGGCAGTCTTCTTTGATTACTGTCATCAAATTCTGATTGAGTAATTTCTGCTGATGTTCGTAGTTTCTATTGAAAAATATACAATAAATATTCTATATTAATTTTCTAATCTCACAGTTTCCAATTGTTCTATCACACAGTTCCAGTCAATATTTTCCTCTTCTGTATTATTATTATCATAATTACTTGATAATGATGATGATGAATCATTAAGAGTACACGATTTATCATAAACCGGTGTAAATGAATTACATGTCCATGTTACTGGCTGTAGTTCGGATAAAAAAGAAGAGATATTTGTTTTATCATTTGATCTTCTATTAGTATGAATCATGTCTAAAAACAAAAGAAATATGTGTAGGAACTAAAAAAAACAAAAAGAATGTAAGGCTTAGTCATTAATGAAGCGTATTTCATCACAAAAGATTGTCGTTCGTAATTTTGAAAAAAAACGAAAAGAGACTTTTTTATTGTTTATTTTGTTAAATGAATGTCATTGTTACATGAGAAATAACACAAATATAGGATGACTTTTCAAGGTAGTTTTTTAACTTATCGCAAAATAATAGTTACAATAAAAAACAACAGGATGAAACGAAAAAAAAAGAAGAGAAATTTTCGTTTTTATTTTAATGCAATTTTCTATTCATCAAGGCTGACTCAAAACAAAAGATAGTGTGAATCATTCTCTACTCACTTCTTAAATCAGAGTGGCGAGAGAAAAAAATTGAAATAAATTTTACTAGATGGCGTTAGAACTCTGTATTGAATTTAAATTAAATTTTTTTTTTAAAATAAACTCAGCATTTATAAAAAATGTTTTTCGAATACAATATAAATTTGTTTATTGTATATCTTAAGTATGAAAATATCGATATTATAAGTAATATATATGTAAAAATAGAAATTTTTCTCAATATAACTTACTCATTGTAGACAGCCAAATAATTTTGATACAAATCTTCTGTCTATCGTATACGAAATGTCGAGATATTCTCGTTCACTATTTAAAAAAAAGTTAACGACGACGACTAGTTTGTCGTTTTACCTCTATTATGATTTGTTGCGTTTATATTTCAAACAAAAGATAAGGTTTTCTTTTCTCTTCTACACACCATATATTTGAGATTGGAAGGTGTGCGTCTGTCAAAAAAAAACAACAACTTGTTAAGCAAATATATTCTGTCGAATGATCAAACTTATTTAGCATCTTTGAAAAACTAAACGTAAAAATACTATAGAGATAATTAAATAAGTTAATGATGGTCTGAGCAAGTAAACAATGTAATATGCAATACATAATAGGGAAATGGAAAGATGATCACACAAGCATCGGAGTGTGGGTGAGGGCGCTGGTTTAGAAAAGATAACATCGATAGATTCCTGTATCTTTGCCGATTGATATTTGCCTTGATTTTCTTTGTTTTTGTCGATATTATTAACCTGAACAAGCACTCATGTGCTCATCGTTCACTGACCCTTCAAAGAATCTTGGACTTTTTATAAATAACTACTCATCTCAGTATCCATCCGACATTCAGTTTAGAGAATCTTTGCCGTTCATATCATTTATTTTAAATAAAGATCTTCTTTTGGGAATAAATATTTGAATGTCTATCATTTTTCATAAATTCTAGTCTTACGATTCATCCCTACATCCTGTCTCCTTTTAGGAGCTATTTTTTTAAGATTCTGCTTATTAGAAAATTTTTACATAGGTGATTTCATAGTTGTACTATACTAGGCCTTTTCATTTTCTCTACTTTTTTTCTTCGCACATGTAAAACTTTATATGGTCACCGTTTTTCTTTGTTCTTCTATATTTATAAAGTATAAATGCATTTTCTCTTTTGTATTCTTGATTCTCTGATTATGCCATGTGTGAATTTGTTTGTGATTCATCTTTCGTCAATTTATTATTTTTCTTGATTTAATGGACGCATTACTCAATTAAACTCTTCACCTGACTAGATACTACGTTTTAAGCGTGTGTGAGGATAAGATCCTAATGTTTTACACGCAATATACTCATATCCATACTCTCATCTTCGAATAATTTCAATATTTCGAAGTTCCACACCTGGATTATCGCTTACCATCATGGTAAAATAGTTCAGTTCGATTACCTTGACATTTTCTTCTTTTCTTTTTCTTCCTTGCTCGTCAATTGGATTTTGCCAACTGAATCATTGTTATACAAGTGAGTAAATAAAGTTTTTTTGTTGTTTAAACAAGCGACAGAAATAAATTCGTCGACAAAACTTTAAAGGCGAAGCATACAATATTTTACTGTTTCATTTTCTGCAAGACATTACACGGTAAGAAATAGTCTTGTTTTTGAAACAGCATAACTGTTAATCTCTGAGGAAGACTACATGTTTACTCTAATTTTTAGTAACAACAATCTCCACACTATTGATTATTAAGTAATTTCATAATGCATAGTAATAGTATATAATTTCTTCTTAATCAATTGATAGTTTTCAGAGATAATATCTGAATCGAAATACAAGAAAAACTTCAAATTAAATGATATCAGAAAAGTTTGAAATAAACATTACCTTGTTCGGATGTTTCTAGGCTCCGTCACGTATTTCATAAATAATCTGTAGTTATATATGACCTAAGAATATTTTACCAATCGAAAATGAATAGAACATGGAAAAAATGTCTAATCGGAAGTGTTCAATTTGTTTCAGTGACCTGGAATCAAATTCATGCCCATTTTGATCAGATATAATTGAAAATAATCGAAAAATTATATAAATATCCTATCTGGAAGCCTCTCTACATGTTCTATCGATTTCAATCATATTGGCTCATTTCATAGTTTGTAATCATGTAAGGTACAGGTAATTCAAATTGTCAGTAAAACCTTTTCTCTTCATTTTTTCACATCATCTGGTAAAGTTTGAAGAGTTGATCGTGAACCTGCATTTAGTTTGTAACTGCAGGTCTTGTTTGAGCTCGAAAACCTTTGAATTTTGTCCAAAATGATTACAGTACAGGCGGGAACAAACGGAGTTCTGAGGTACAGAGAAGTACGAAGAAGTACAGAAGTTCGCTTGTTTACCCTTGTTATAGCACTAGTAAAACAGAATTTTCTCTACTTACAAAAGGAATGAAAAAAAAATCGATACTAGGTGTGTTGAAAGGTACTATGATTCTAGCGTATAACGTCGAACGAAAAAATGTCGAAAACAGAAAATCCGATACATATTTGATAAAAATCAAAGCTTTTAAAGCGCCACCCAGCCCCACACCCACCCTCAAATAAACTATTGACAGAACTGAATTTATTTATATGTGTAGATATGAATATATCATCAGTTGCAATTGATACTAATTTTCCCGTTGGTGGATGTTTACCGAAGCAACCTACTGGTGCATTACAATTATTAACAAAACATCCTCAATATGATGGACGTCAAGTCACAATTGCTATTCTTGATACTGGCATTGATCCATTAGCAAATGGTCTTCAAGTATTTCTTCTAATCTTTTCCTATTTTATATAAAACAAAAATTTATTCTAGAAAACAAGTACAGGAGAAGTGAAAATAGTTGATTTACGTGATAGTACAGGTAGTGGTGATGTGGATATTTCAACAATTGTTAAAGCAACATCAAATGATAATGAAGATGATCAATTAATTCAAGGTTTATCAGGAAGAAAATTAAAAGTAATAAGAAAACAAATTTTTCAAAATAAAAATATGATTTTATTTTATTTAAAGATTCCATCAAATTGGAAAAATCCATCAGGAAATTATCATCTTGGAATAAAATCATTAAAACAAATAATACCAAATTCTGCTTTTGATCGTCTTTCAGTAAATAGAATAATTTTAAAAATAAACGATTTAATTTAAAATTAATTTTTTAGCAAGAACGTCGTGAAAAACTCTTTGATCCTCAACATCGTCTTGCTTTAGCTGAAGCTCAACGTCGTCTCGATGAACATATCAATAAATTTCCAACACCAAATGAAGTATTGAATTTATTTTTTTCTCTTTAGAAGAAAATTTCAACTCTTTTAAGGAACAAAAATTAATCCGAGAAGAATTTCAATCATTTGTCGATGCTTTAAAAGAAATCGAAAAGAAATACAATGATCCTGGTCCATATCTTGATTGTATTGTTTGGAACGATGGAAATAAATGGATGTTCGTATTATTTAATAATAAATATTAATCAAATCAATTCTTTTCTTCTAGTGCATGTATTGATACTAGTGAACAAGGTGAATTAGATCAATGTAAATGTTTAACAAATTATTTTGATTCTCATGAATTTGCAACATTTAGTGCCATAGGTTAGAAGAAATTAAATAAATGGAGAGAGAATTTATTTCTTTATTTTTATTTAGATATGGTTACTTATTCCATACAAATACATGATGAAATTAATATCCTTGAAATTGTCGTAGCTGGAGGTTAGTTTATATAATGAATGAAAGATTCAAAAACTTTTTTATGTATAGCTTCTCATGGAACACATGTTGCTGCAATATCTGCTGCTTATTTCGGGGATTCTTGTGAAGAAAATGGTGTTGCACCTGGTGCACAACTTTTATCAATTAATATAGGTGATCATCGTTTTTCAACAATGGAAACAATTCCAGCTATAGTTCGAGCTGTATGTTTAATATATTTATTTCTTGAAATTATCGATTCGAGAAAATTTTCGATTATTTAATTAGATTAAATATTGTATTGATTATAAAGTTGATATAATAAATTATAGCTACGGTGAACATTATCAGTTTCCTAATTCTGGGTAAGAATTTATTAAAAAATAAATTCAAAAGGAACATTGTTATAAATTACAGACGAGTACAAGAATTAATGAATGAAGCTGTTGAGAAATATGGAATAATATTTGTTTCATCAGCTGGAAATAGTGGTCCACCATTAAGTACAGCAGGTGCACCTGGTGCTACATGTACAAATCTCATTGGTAGATTAATTAGTTTTTTAAATCAGATATCATAAATTTCTTCTATTTGAAGGTGTTGGTGCTTATATAACACCTGAAATGCAAATAGCAGAATATGCATTAAGAGAATCTACAGGTTGTACAACACCATTTCCTTGGTCATCACGTGGTCCATGTAGTGATGGATGGTTAGGTGTGTGTATTAGTGCACCTGGTGCTGCTATTACAAGGTTTCATATAATATCTATAAAAGAAATTTTGAAAAAGGAAACTTTTTTTTTCAATTAGTGTACCACAATTTACTTTATGTCAACGACAACAAAAAAATGGAACATCAATGTCATCACCAAATGCTACTGGTTGCATTGGTAAAATTTTTATTTGTATTAGTTTTTA